TAAAAGGGAAAAAATAAATGTAGTTTCAATTTTCTTATGAGTGAGGCTGAGTATTTTTTCATGTATCTGAGGGCCATTTACCTTTCCTTTTATGTTAACCATCCCATTTCTTATTGGACTTTTGTTTTTTCCATATTGATTTGAAGGGATTTTGTATATATGAAGCAAATTAGTCCCTTTGTCTATGATGCGAATTGCAAATATTTCCCCCAGTTTGCCATTTGTCTTTGTTTATGGTGTTGTTTGCTTGGCAGAAATTATAGATTTTTATGTTGACAGATGTCTTTTTTTATGCTTTGGGAAATTTTATGCTATTCTGAAAATACTGTCTCTACTATGACATTATAAATTTATGTCTTTACTCTTTGAAATTTACTTAAACACAACTGATTCATATGGATTTATATTAGTGTAAGGACTAAAGTAGATACCACATTTTTTTTCATGTGGCCACACAATTGTCTCGATACCCTTTACTGTATAATTCATCTTTTCCCTGCTGATAGACAATGCCGTCTGTAGCGCGTACCAACATTTTAAATGTTTTGGGTTTCCTTCTGGACTCTCTCTTGTTCTCTGGGTCGTGTTGCTTATGCCTGCACCAGGGTCCCCTGAATTTTCCTATTTTAGTTAGTGTAGCTTTTACATGGTTTCATATCTGGTAAAGCTTCCCCCTCTCATGAACCTTCTTTTTTTCAGAATGTTCTTAGCTATGCCTGATGCAAAAATTTCTATATGAACTGTACATTCAGGTTCTGTCGTGAGTGTGTTTATTAGATTACATTAACTTTATAGACTAATTTATGGAGAGCTGCCAATCTTTATGATAACAAGTCTTTCTACCCAAAACACAGTAAGTGTTCCTTTCCATTTACTCAAGCCTCCTTTTGTGTCCCATGATACAGCATTTTAGTTTTGGGTGCCTAAATCTAGCATATTTATTGTTAAGATTATTAGTTTACTCTTTTGTTGCTATTGTAAATGACACATTTTATTCCTCTATACCAACTGACTGTTGTTCATTGGCTTTTTGTATATTAATTTGTGCCCGCTTTACTAAAATGCCTAGTTTGTATTATTTTTTTTCAGTTGATGTCCTTGGATTTTTCAGGTAGGCTTTCACATAAATAATGATAATTTTGCCTCTTCATTTACAGTTTTTATAGATCATTCCTTCCTCTTCTGTAATTAAGCAGATTAGTACTTCCAAAGCAATGTGAACTAAAAGTAGTCACAGGAGCCATGCTTTTGGAATACCTAACTTTACCAAGAATAATTTAGGTTTCCACATTAGGTATGATTCTGGCATTTGGACTGAGATGTGTAAATTTTATCATGTTAATGAAGTTGTATATTTCATAAAGTTTGTCTGTAATTCTTTAACCTGGGTATTGATATTTTCAGAGGGTTTCAGTCTGTGTATGCAACTCCCCCTTTGTGGATAATTTCTCCTCCCTTAGAGGAAAGAAAAATGTGTATAGGTATTAAGTAGGGTATTATGTTGACTTAAAATGCATTGTGAACCCAAAGATAACTTTACACTGGTCAACAGCTTTATTAAATTTGACTTCCTATAGTTGCATCAATAGTACATAGAGTCTGGGTCTTCTGACTGAGTGCCCAGCAGATAATAGCCTTACGTGAGAGGGACTCTGGTCCTGCTCTAGTGGACAGGAGTGGGGAAAGGCTGAGACTCAAAGTCCGGGTCTTTGACTCTGACCACCTGGCAGAAGATATTGAGACCCAATCCCTAAGAACAGTGCCAACAGCTAATATTTTTTCTTTGAAAACTTGCTATATATACTACCTGGGAGAAGGAGCGGTGTTCACTCCTTGTGTACATAGTGATTTACCCATTAGAACCATCCTATCAATTAAATACTATTATTTTCCCACAGATGATGAAACTGAGGCAAAGAAAGGGAACTTACTCAAAGTCACAAGCTGGTAGTTGACATTGTTGAGGTTTAAAGCCAAGCAGTTTGACTCCAGAGCCTATCTTCTTAACCACCCTGCTCAAATCTCCAGAACGAGCCTGGGGCCCTGAGCAGATGAGCAAAGATCTTGCAAAAACTGTGAGCAGGGCCTCGACTGTAAGCCACATCTATCTCAGGCAGACAGTGCCAGGCTATGCAAGACTACTCTGGAACCAGGGACCGTTAACTGGAGGCTGATGGCCGGTGCCACTGCTAGCTTTTCTTTTTATCCACAATCTTCCTTCTTTTTGTTCCTTTGCTGGTTCCTCCTCTTATCGTGCCCCGGCATCGATCTATCTATATCCTCTCCCTAGACATTAGCATCCAGATCTTCATGATAATGATTCCATCATTATCTCCAGTCCAGTCCTCTCCCCTGACAGGACTAGGGTGTCTACCTCTCTACTCAACACCTCCACCAAGATACCTACGTCACAAGCATCTCAAACTGAACATGTCAAAACAAAACTCTGTTTCTGCCCCATACAAACATTCTCCTCCCACAGACTTCTCGTAAGTTTACTTAACACACTTAATCAGCAAATATTTATTAAGTACTACTATAGCAGTGAGCAAATCAGACAAAAACTCTCCCCTCAAACAGCTTACATTCTACTGCTGAGGAACATACAATGAATGGAAAAAAAGTTAAATACATCATACATTAAAGGATAATGGGGCTAAGGAGAAAAACAAAGCAGGGAAAGGATAAAGACAGCAGGGGATAGCGACCAAACTTTTAAAAAGGTAAATGAGAGGAGCAGGAGATGAAGCCAAAGAAGTCACAGGGACTGGACCATGACTCTTTATCCCAAGGAAGATGGAGATTTTGAACAGAGGCTTGACATCAGTGGATTTCCATTCTGATAGGAATATCCTAACTGCTGTGAAGAAACTGGAAAGTGAAAGCTGGGAGACTAGTTAGGGAGCTCTTGCAATAATCCAGGTGAGAGATGATGGATCTAGGAGACCTGGATCAGCAGACAAGAAGATTATGAATATACTTTAAAGGTGGGGGTGGGGGGGTTTGCATTCACCCAGTTTCTCAGGCAAAAAAAATCTAGTTCTCATCCTTGATTCTTCTTTCCCTTATATCCCACACCCAATACGTCAGTTCTGTCTCCAAAATATGCACCAAAGTTACTGTTTCTGTCCATCTTCACTGCTACCATAACCCAGCTAAACCGAATGTCACCTGGATTGCTGCAATAGCTCTGTGCTTCCTCTTTTGACCTGTACAATCCAATCTCCACAAGCAGCCAGAGGGCTCATTTCAAAAGTTAAATATCACAGGATAGATGCCTTTACTCAAAATCCTTTCAGAGTTTTCCAATGCATTAAGCATAAAGGCCAAAGTTCATTCTATGAACTACAGGAGCTAATGTGACCTTCCCCCGATGACCTCTCTATTCTCATCTCCTTCCCCTTTTTTCTTCATCATGTTGCTCTAGCCACACTGGGCTCCTTCCTGTTCCTCAAACTCTTTTCTGCTTGGGAGCTATGCTTTCTCCCAGCTCTTTGCACGACTGGTTCCTTCTCCACTGTAAAATCCCAGCTCAGTTGTCACCTGCTTAGAGACATCAATGATAACTCTTATATAATATAGATACTATATATAGATATTCCACCAGAACTTGTATCAGGAACCACGACCTTTCGGGGGAGATATAAATAAGTTAATACTTATTAAGCAAGATCACAGGACAGTAAATGAAGTGAGGAACTTTTGAAGCAGAGAGCTATCATACATTGTCAGAGCTAGAAGGGCCAGCCCTCCATTTAACACTTGAATCCCCTAACAATGTCCAGGTAACATGTACTTGACACCTCCGTTGAAGGGAATGCCCTAGCTGGATAGCTTTGGAATTGAATCTTCCATTTTCTGAGCCGCAGCATGTTTCTCTGAAGCTACTACACTTTTGTGCCCTCCAAGAAAACATAAAACAGAAATCCTCTTTTAGAGGACAGTCTTTCTGGTTTTCCTGGATAACTCCAACTTTTCCTGTAGGCTTGTTCTCCCAAGCCAAGATTCCCTCCAGGGCACTAGGGGACCCACAATGTCTCCAGCAGTCAAAGTGCAATTGGGCTCACTGGACCAAGTGAACACCGCTCCTTCTCCCAAGACCTCTACCTTCTACGAACGCGGCTCATCTGCTCCACAGACATCGACCTGTCCTTGCCCCTTTACGCCACATCTCCCTGGCCAGCTCCTCAACGTCATCTCCCCGCCACGTGCCCAGCATAGGGCCTGACACTGATTTCTCTAAAACTTCTCGTCAAATCTGAGAAACCGTCAAAGACTCCTATTCTTCGTGCAAATTCCGAAGCCGAAATCTAGTCCGCGGCCCGGGACCACCCCACCCTCGAGCCCACCCATCCACGCAACGCCCCACCTCCCCCAGATTGGTGTCGCCCCTCAGCCTAACCCGCCCCAAGTGTCATCTGTCCCTTTAATCGCACCCCTTAACCAGGTAACCTCTTTGGCGCCTAGAATCCCTGAAGTTTCCTTATTGGGAAAGCCTTTGATTTCACCTGTTACTAAAACAGTGGCACCTTCACAGCAATGCCACACCCCCTTCACGCCCGTTCTCCCCTGACCTGGAAGGGATTGCTCAGTCCCCGGTTCGTAGACCCGGAAGTAGGTGTGCCCCACGGAAACTGGCCTTGGCCCTGCGGCTGCTGCCGTCGCCGCGGATATTGTTGGAGCTGGCAGCCTAGGAATGGTGAGACCTTGCGGTTCGCTTCTGAGGGTTCTGAGCAGAGCTGGGGGTCAAGTGGAATTTCCCAGAGTGCCTCCGAGAACGACCCCCCTCGCCAGGTTTGGGACCCCGCCCCGGTAGCGCCCCGAAAATCTGCGCATGCGTACGCCGGACCGGGCCTGAATCGGGTCCTAGATGTTACGCATGCGCGCGCGAGCCGGACCGGGCCAGAATCAGGTCCTAGGTGTCACGCATGCGCAGAGGTGGTTTACCGAAGGTTGGGTGAGAATTGGGCTGGGGAATTGGTACCCACTTTCCCCGCCACCAGCCCATGGGGCTTAAGCCAAGGCTGCGAGACCATCTGGGTTCTCTCCATGCTTTGCTTTTGAGTTTCATCACCATTCCTACCCCGACCCGCTAAAACAGACCTGGATTGACACCCCCCCCCCACCTTGGTGTGCACTTTAGGGAGAATTAACCGAGGGCGGGGAAGGAAGAAGACGCACACCATTCCTCAGTTGGCCCGTAGAATCAGGGCCCTTCGCCCTCTCCCCAGGTGTCAAGATTCCCAGCCGTATTCAATGGGGCGGTGCGACGAGCACACCTAGGGTCAGGGCCGAAACGCTGCGAGAAGAGCAAGCAGCCCTGGGCAGAAGGAGCAGGATCCTCAAGCAGGGCGGGGGAGGCGGTTGATATTCGGGCAGTTTCCAAACCGTGTTTTTTAGTTTTACCGAGTTACCATCCACTAAATCTTCCGCTAAACATGCGCATGGGGAGAGAGGGAGAGACTGCCTGGAATTCTATACTTTTCCCTTCTTTGGCCTGGGAGGGAAAAGGGTGCTGCTGCTGAGCTGAGTGACCAGCTGATGGAAAGAAAAAGTGAGCAAAGAATGCCTGGTTTCCTGCTAGTTTGAATTGAGGTCATTCACCTATGGGCTATGAATAAAATTACTGGGGTCTCTGAACCCCCTGAATGGTATCTGTTTGTACATTTTTCTAGAGTCCATAAATTTAATCATATTCTCAAAGATATCAGTGGCCTTCAAAAGGCTAATGATTTATCAGGGTCATATTGGCAAAATAGAAGCATGTGTCTTTCTTGTGTCTTCTCTAGCTTATGCGACCTTGGGGGCAGGGGGGAGTGGTCCTGTTGCAGTATAAGGAGGTGAGGCTGACCAGTTGGAATCCTGAGCCTCAGGGAGCCTTATTTTTCTTTGCAGAATCTCCTCTCAGCTTCTAAGCTTACCTGGTCAGAATCCTTGGATGTGCCTGTTGGACCCTTCCTCCTAGCCCTGTGGTTTGGAACCAGTGGCTTTGGGACTGTAAGAGGATGGACAAAGGTACTATGAGGCTGGGCCAGCTGCCCAAATCTTTGGGCACCAAGCATCTGCTGATTCCACCCTGTGCCCAGCACATGTGTTTTTGGTCCTGACTAGGTATTGCCACCTCCCCCTGAACCAGCACTACCCACGTACCTCTTGGCAGAGGCAGCAGTTGACTGATTTGCTGTTAAGCTGCCACTCTTTGGCATGGCTGCATTTCGATGCTAGAGGGAACGGTTACACTCAGAGCCTGTCGTGTCAGCATCAGCAGTCTGACCTGAGTACCATGTGCTGTATGACATGACATGTGGCACCAGGAGAACTGCCCCGCATAGAAAGTCTGGGCCAGGTCTGAGCCCACATGGGGTCTGGATAGCCAAGGGATTCCCACCTTAAAACCGCAAGTGTCAAGGAAGCAGGGGAGGGGCTGAGAGCTGAGGAAAGGAAGGAGACCTATGAGCAGAGGCTCAAGGCTTTGCTAACCACTTAGGAAGCCTGAGTTCACTACTTTTATCTTCTAGATTCTCAGGGGCTGCTAGATTCATCCCTGATGGCATCAGGCACTGCCAGCCGCTCTGAGGATGAGGAATCACTGGCAGGGCAGAAGCGGGCCTCCTCACAGGCCTTGGGCACCATCCCTAAACGGAGAAGCTCCTCCAGGTAGTGAGGGTTTGGAGGGCCAGGGACTGAGTAGGACATTAGGTACTGCATGCCTTTGCCCTTGTTGGGAATGACTGCCTGAGACCCTCAGGGGCCTAAGGGTTTGCAGAGCCGAGTGCTTTTCATATCCCAACTAAATCCCTGACTGAGGGCAAGGGAGGGAGATCTTACTCTTTGACTGGAGTCTTTGTGGTACGGGACCCTTTTGTCTCAGGGGGAGGCGGGGCATAGCAGCTCCAAGCCCTACCCGCTGAGATGGAGCTGTTAGCGCTCTGCTGGGAAACTGCTCTGTTCTGGAGGTGTGGTGTGTGTAAGTGGGTACTGGGGAGGGGGCAAGGATCACTCACTGGGTACGACTCTCCACAGGTTTATCAAGAGAAAGAAGTTTGATGATGAGCTGGTGGAGAGCAGCCTGGCTAAGTCCTCTACCCGGGTGAAGGGGGCCAGTGGGGTGGAACCAGGGCGCTGTTCTGGGAGTGAACCCTCTTCTAGTGAGAAGAAGAAGGTGAGGGATTGGGAGAAGGGATGGGGGAGATGGGGAGCGGGGCCACATTTTGTTTTCCTACAACCTGTCAGCTGGCAAGAGTTCTTTAGAGGATGCTATGAGAGGACCAAACTGCCCCAGCCTCAGATGCCTCCCTCCCAGGAGCCCATCTCTCCCTACTCCCTCTTTCTTGCTCCACTCCCCACCCTTCAGTGCATCCTGTATCACATTCTGTGTGGGAGGCATGGAGCATGCATCTATTCTGGGAGCAGACAGCCTGTTCCCAACACTGCTGGGTGTAAAAATAACCCCCAGGTGGCACTGCTCTGGCCCAAGACACTGTACCAATGAGAGTGTTTTCCTGGTATCCTCTCCACCCACCCTCTGCTCCAGGGTTGGGGTGCCACCAGCAAGGAGATGACCCCATATGGTCAAAGACTATGTAAGAAGTGCTCCGGTGGGGGCAGGCATTAGAAAGCTGAGCTCCTGGCCTGTGCTACTTATTGTTGAGTGGGGCCAGGAGTGTCCCACAGTATGTGCAGCACTAGGCCTGAAGACCCAGCTGCCCTGATGCCAGCTTTGAGCTCACTGTGTTCCTGTCCTCTGTCCAGGTGTCCAAGGCCCCCAGTACTCCTGTGCCACCCAGCCCAGCCCCTACCCCCGGACTCACCAAGCGAGTGAAGAAGAGCAAACAGCCACTTCAGGTGACAAAGGATCTGGGCCGCTGGAAGCCTGCAGATGACCTTCTGCTCATCAATGCTGTGTTGCAGGTATACTTTCCGCTCTAGTTTTCGTGTCCCACTCTTCCCTCCAGCTTTCAGTTGTCCCTCAGCTAGCCCAGCAGTGTCCTATGGGTGGTAAGGGAAGGGTTCTTTCCAGTGTGAAGGCTGAAGCAAACCCCTCTGGGCTCTTGCAGACCAATGACCTGACATCCGTTCACCTGGGTGTGAAGTTCAGCTGCCGTTTCACACTGCGGGAGGTCCAGGAGCGCTGGTACGCCCTGCTCTACGATCCTGTCATCTCCAAGTGAGTGGGGCTGGCTCCAGTTGTGGAGAAGTACTGGAGATACCAGAATTTGAGCCCTGGAACAATGGGACTTGAATAAGGGCCCAAGGAGGTGGCCTGGGAGGCAGGGCTCTTGGGTCCTTGTATCATCTGGTGTGATACCAAAACCTGCCAGGTTTCAGAGGGAAGCTTCTTCCTGCTGCCGACCCTGCTAGTTCTGGCTTCATACCAGAAGCAAGGGGATCTGGAAGCCAAGCAAGGAGTGTAGGAGAAAACACCCAGATGAGAGCCAGCAGCCGTAGTTCCACCACTCTGCACATTGTGGTTTGGGGCATGTCACCTCCCAGCCTTTCCAGACAGATTTCCCACAGTTCCTTCCAGCTCCAGAAGCCTGAGTTCCATGTAAACCTGTGCACACGTGTCCCATACACTCTTCCTCCTCGGTCACTTCATTTCATGTCATCCATATTTGGTTGGATGCTTAACACCTGTCTTCTACTCCATAGCCCCTGGCAGTGCTTCAGTTTTAGCCATGGCCCTGATACACCAGAAAACTGGCAGGGCTCAGCATGGGAAAGAGGGGTGTGCTGGGAAGTGGCTGATGGGTAGCAGCTTTGGCCAAGAAGGATAAAGGTCTTGGGGAGAGAGCCTCAGCTGAATTCAGGATCTCCCTTAGGGCTGGCCTCTAGGGGGTTGTGCCTTTGCATGTCTCCACAGGATTGAACACAGGGACTTGTTTCCTAAGTTGCCTGTTCATGCTTTGGACAAATTCATGAGGCCTTGCTAAGTCATGCTAAGCCTTGGGCTCCTCCTGTTGAGGGCCTGGCCTGTCATTCTGCATCTCAAGGACCTGCAGGCTTTGGGGGGAAATAGGAACCTCAGATTGCTTGACATCCTCCCTTCAACCCTGCCCTGACCTCTTCTCCTCTCTGCCCAGGCTGGCCTGCCAGGCCATGAGGCAGTTGCACCCAGAGGCCATCGCCGCCATCCAGAGCAAGGCTCTGTTTAGCAAGGCTGAGGAACAGCTGCTGAGCAAAGTTGGATCAGTAAGGATGAGGGCTGGTGAGGCTGGTGAAGGGGTTGGGCAGGGTGGGAGCTGGACCACCTGGAACACTAATGTGGGAGACCCCACTGCCTGGAAACATGCCTGTGCTGCCTGTGCTGTCTGTGCAGATGCACATACCCTTGTGGACAGGTATTTGAGAAGAGTTGGCCTGGCTTCCTGGGCAGCCATAGCTGTCACTTCTCCCAGCTCCTGGTGGGAATGCACGGGGGTGAGGGGGGGCTTGTGAGGCAGAGGCCGGAGTGAGATAGCACAGGTGCCCAGAGCATCTTGCCCTCCAGACCAGCCAGCCCACCTTGGAGACCTTCCAGGACCTGCTGCACAGACACCCCGATGCCTTCTACCTGTCCCGCACTGCCAAGGCTCTGCAGGCGCACTGGCAGCTCATGAAGCAGTACTACCTGCTGGAGGACCAGACAGGTAACTGGCCCCAGGGGCTGGCAGCATGGATGTGTGTCTGTAAGTGTGGCATGTTTGGGGCACAGCTGCCCTTGAGTGCTTTGCAGTAAATCCCTCGGTGGCCCCCAGTGTCTGGTTTACCCCTCTTTGCAGCAAAAACCACTTCCTTCTGGGGGAGGGAAAGTAGCTGGAATGGCCTTCAGATTCATGGTGAGGGTAGCCAAAGTTGCCTGGAATCCTGGGCAAAATGTCTAAGTGGCAGAATTATCTATCACTTCTGGGTTGGGGTTTTTTTTTGTTTTGTTTTTGCTTTTTGACATTTTATATTTATGTAAATAATATGTTAACATGCTTCATGAGCAAAATGTGGACATCTGCTCACCCTTCCCTGTTTTCTCCCAGGAGATGATGACTTTTCTAAGCCCTTCTGCCCTTCCCTCTCTTCATTTTCCTCTGCCTGTCCTCCTGCCAACAGCATTGTCAGGCTGCTGTTGGGCCATTGAGAACCCACTGGAACTTGACACCCAGTCCATTTGCCCTTCTCCTTCCCCAGGGGCCAGGTGCTCCCTGCTTCATCTCATCCCGCAACCAGCCAAACTCGCACTGTCCTAGTGACGGGTCAGGAAAGCAGTCTGATCAAATTGCGGGAAACACCTAGTTAGATTTGGGGTTCAAGGTCAGACTTTCATGACAGAACACAAGCTGCCCGTCCTAAACATTGATGCGCATTGCCTTCTGCCTCGTCGTCCACATTGCCGTGGAAAGGGAGCTTTGGCAGTACCCTTCACTTTACTCCCCAGGGCCTGCAGCCCTGGCTCCTTAAAGATACTCCCTCAGCAGGACTTCAGGAAATCTCTTCGAGGGGGAGGCCCGATCTTTCTTTCCCAAGGCTCTCTGAATTCAGTGCCCAGAGAGCAGCCCACTGTAATCCTGCAGCTTTCAACTCTCTGCCACTTCCTCAGGCTCAACTGTTCCTGAATTCCCACAGAAAGGACACTGGATAAAGTTTATTCTTGCTGTTGTAGCTAACTCCATTGTCACAAATTGGAAAGTTACTTTGTGTAAACTTACTTGTCAACTTAGTTTAATTTTTTTCTCCAAGAGCCTTCTCCTTGCTGTTTAGAGCTAGGAGTCCCTGGGAACAGCGGGTATACGCTGCTTAGTGGTTAAGTCCATTGAAAATCAGTTTGGTGGAATTTCAAGCAGCTGTGGTGGGGTGGGGCCTAGTGGGGGTGACCACCCCAAACCCATCTTCTCACACAGTTGGACCTAAGGAAGCAGGTGTGGTGGTGGAGGGAGCATTTGGCAGGCGGGGAGGACACTTTGGTGTTGTCAGACTCCTCAGCCGACAGTTTCACAGCCACTGGCTGGTGGGAGCTGCTCTGGAGCAGACGCTTGGCAATCGTGGGAGCAGCCAGCCTGACTGAAGGCGGAAGTTCTCAGATTTTGGAGGCTCTAGTCCCTTTTCCATTTTGACCAGAGGAAAACTGAAAAACTTTAATGAAACAGTGTTTATTCTGAACATATCTGTCGGACTTGAGATAGAAAGAGGAGTGTAGCAGAAAATATTCAGGCGCATGTGACGCTTTGGGGTTTTGCACTTGGGATCAGGAATGCAGGGCTTAAATCTCGGCTCTGCCCTCAACTAGGGTCACACAGTTGGACCTTCCCTCTGGGGCCCGTTTCCTCGTCTGTAGTAAAATAGAGCCAATAGCAGTGCCTTCCCTACTTTGCTTAAGGCTGTGTGAGGGCCCTTTGCCCCCTGAAAAGCAAACATGAAAGTTCGAACTTAATTCCCTTCCCTTTGTAGAACCACCTCTGCCCCATTAACCCCAGGCATGCTTTGTGCCAAAGCAGCGTGCAGCCCAGTCTGGCATGGACTCCGTTACCTGTATGGGCTCACTGCTGCTCACTTCAGCATGAAGCTGATCCCCTGGGCTCCATCTTTATGGTGTGTCCCCTTGGTTCAGAGGTCTGCTCAGCAGCTTCAGGTTGAGTAGGAGCATCAGCGCTGACCCTCCCTTCGTCCTTTGTTCAGTGCAGCCACTGCCCAAGGGGGACCAAGTACTGAACTTCTCTGATGCAGAGGACCTGATTGATGACAGTAAGCTCAAGTGAGTGGCTGGGGCCACAGGCAGGGTGCAGAGAACTGAGGGTCTCTGGGGGCGGGGTGCCCAGGGTACTTGGCTCTACCTCTCTTGCTGCAGACAGCAGAGCCCAGCCCAGTTTCAGCCTTAAATTCCAGTAGTAGTGATCACCTGGTCTTCCTGCTGAACCTCGCTGCCCCCACCCCATACCCTGAGTGCCTTACTCCACCCAACCCCTGGGAAGGAGTCTAGGCAGAGGCAGGAGAAGCAGCCTTGGGCCACTTGGCTAGGGGGCTGAGGGCGGTCCCAGTGGTCGAGGAGCACCTGAGGGTGAGGGCAGTTGAGCTGGAAGTGGAACATCATTCACCCTTCTCTTCTCCCTTCCCAGGGACATGCGAGATGAGGTCCTGGAACATGGTGAGTGTATCCTGGTGGGGACGGTGAGGGGACGGAAACTCCTGCCAGAACAGAGAGAATCAGTACAAGAATCTGGTGACTTTGGAGTGTCCCTTCTTACCACCCCATCCCTCCCCAGAGCTGACAGTGGCAGACCGGCGTCAGAAGCGGGAGATTCGGCAGCTGGAACAGGAGCTGCATAAGTGGCAGGTGCTGGTAGACAGCATCACAGGTGAGGAGGCCAGCAGTCCAGGAGGGGTACCCTTCCACTCCCCGCCCCACCCTGGGTCCCTGGGGTTGCCTGGCTGGGTGCACCCTCCTTTCCCAGCCCCGACTCCTGTCCCTCAGCAGACCTTGCCCTGGTTCCCTGCCTTCCACCTCGTAGCCCTGAAGGGTGGACTCTCTCCCACATGGGCTGCTCCCCTGCAGGCATGAGCTCTCCAGACTTTGACAACCAGACGCTGGCGGTGCTACGGGGCCGCATGGTGCGGTACCTGATGCGCTCGAGAGAGGTGAGGCAGCCCAGCCCCGTTCCTCTTCACCCTTTCTGAATTTCCCTCCCCCACCAGTCTTCCCCTCACTGCCCTCTCTGTGTCTGGTCCCCGATTTCTCATCTTTCCCTGGCCTGTGTGAACCCGTCCCCCAGACCTCAGCTGCCAGCCCTCACCTGCCCCATCTCCACAGATCACCCTGGGGAGGGCAACCAAGGATAACCAGATCGACGTGGATCTGTCCCTGGAGGGCCCGGCCTGGAAGATCTCTCGGAAGCAAGGTACGCGCAGGAAGCATGTCCCTCCTGGCTCCCCACTGTCCTTTCCAGCCCTGGGGCCTGGTCTCTGGGAACTCTCACGGATGAGTTGGCATTTCAGGATCTCTGACTGGGAGTCCTGGGTGTCCTCCGGCCTGTCCCCAGGAAGCAGAGAGGGTACATGGGGACTCCGGGCTCTTGTCTGGCCTCCACCTACCCTGTCATCCTCTTTTTTGTCTCCATTCCCACAGGGGTCATCAAGCTGAAAAACAACGGTGATTTCTTCATCGCCAATGAGGGTCGGCGGCCCATCTATATTGATGGACGGCCCGTGCTGTGTGGCTCCAAGTGGCGCCTCAGCAACAACTCTGTGGTGGAGGTGAGCAGGGAGGTGGAGGTGAGCTGGGAGGGACCTGCCTCGGGTGTGGTGAGCCGGACCCAGGCCTGGCTCCCAGCCCCACCTCTGTCCTTAGCCTCCCTTCTCTCCTGCCCAGATTGCCAGCCTGCGATTTGTCTTCCTCATCAACCAGGACCTCATCGCCCTTATCCGAGCCGAGGCCGCCAAGATCACGCCACAGTGAGAGCGGAGGCAGGACCCACAGGCTCTCTGGCCTGTTTCCCCTGCCATTGCAGCTCCCTGGAGCTCGGAAGTCAGCTCCTGGAAAAAGCAGAGTGGGCAGCAGGAAACCCAACTGACAGCCCATTGATCCGAGCCTCTGCGGGGGTGGGGCTGGCCCTCAGGGTGTCCCTCGAGGCTGGGGCCCTGCAGCTTCCTGAGAGCCAGAGCCCCTCCCCTTCTCTCCGCAGACCACCATCCCCTTCTCCAGATTCCTACCTTCCTCCCTGTGTCTCCAGCTAATTAGCTTCAGACTTTTCCTTTATTATTTTTCTTTTGTAAATAAAAGGCACTGAGTTCCAAATTAGCTTCTTTTATTATTACTTTTTAATATAAAAAATGCGGGGACAGGTGAGGCAGGGGCACATGCAGGGGATGGCAGAGCCCCTCCTTGGCCTCAGGCCTCTGTCCCCACCCTGCAGAAGGACACAAGATCAGAGAAGCAGGTTGAGGAGGGGACCCACAAATAGGGACCACAGGATTACTAGCCCGGGGCCAGCCCCTGAGGCTCCAGCCCACCCTCCATGAGAGCCAGGGCGAGCCCTTCCTTGGCTTTCCGCCTCCCTGCCCTGAGCCAGGAGGCAGCCTGGAGTCCCTGGGGGTCGCTACCACCCGTCCTGTGCCCCAAGGTTGGGCAGAGCAGCAGATGGCGGCATGTCTGGCAACACATGAGTTCTAGTGCTGGCAGTCAGACTCCCGTGCCTTCTTCCTGGGTCCAATGGACCGTGCCAGAGCCATGGCAGCCAATAAGCACCATCTCCAGGCTATGGGGTTCCCAGGGCAAGGCCAGGCCCCCTGGCCCTGGTGGGGGCTCTCCAGTGCTGGCTGTCTCAGCTTGGTTCACAGGCTCCAGGGGCCCAGTTCCAGCCCCTCCTTGCTCAGGAGGCGGCGAGCCAGGGGTGCTGGGCTCAGGACAGAGTTCTGAGCCTGGTGGCTCTGAGTCGGAGGTGGAGGTCCAAAAAGCTGTTGCTCGAGGCCAGGGGGAGCTCTGAGATGCTGGGGGACCCCAGGGCCAAGGTGCCACACGGGGAGGGGGCCCTGGACGAGGGTGGGGCCAGGTCCCACTCAAGACAGAACCGGCTGGGGGCTGCAGACAGTAGGAAGATGCCCCAGTGTCCACACACAGAGGCTGCAGGAGTCCAGAGGTGCTGGCTGGGCGCAGCCCCTCTCCCGATGTCTGGGGACATGGGCCCTCCACATGGGGTGTCAGGATGAGCTGCACGGCCTGGCGCAGGGACTGAAGGCCCTCCCGCATCTGCAGCACCTGCTCAGACAGCTCCATCACCTTCGGGAGGGAGGAGGGTGAGGTCAAGAGTAGAGTCAGGACCTCACACAACAGCAGGACCCCCCTCCCCACCCTGCCCCCACTATGCCCCTCACCCACCGCCTGCCGAAGCTTGTCCAGCACGTCTGTGTTGCTTGCCTCACCGGGTCCAAGGGGCACAGTGAGCAGGCTGTTCTCTGCGGACCATAGCATGAGGTTACTGGGCAGGACTGGCGACAGGAGACAGCTCGGGGGCCAGGCCTCTGCCCCATTAGCACAGACTACATTGACCTGGCAGAAAGGGCCACTTCCAGTCTTGCCCAAGTTGCTGAAAATTCTGCCCAAATTGCCAGAGGGCCTCAGGCACACTGCCCCATGCTTTTCCCCTCAGGAAGTTGCCTTCCGCGCCTGTCCCCTGTTCCACTTTCTAGGGAAGTGGACACTCCTGGGAGCTCATCACCTGGGCCATTCCCAGGGCTGCCTGGCCTGGCCAGGAGCCATTTTCAACTCTGCTTCCCCTTCCTCTGTCCTCCTAGGGGGCCAAACAGTGTGCTGAGGGTCTCAGCGAGCAACATGATCTTATTTAACATGCACACCAGCCGTTCTACAGACTGGAAGCTGCAGTGAGAACCAAGGTCGCACTGCTAGAGAGCTGACAGCAGAGATGCAAACCCCGTTCCCAGTGACCCTCCAATACCACAGTGCTGGTTTTAGCTGCCTAACTCCCTGCCCACACTGTGCAGGTGGAGGGTGAGGACCAGAGGGCTTCCAGGCCACGTTTGTATCCTGTCGGTTTCTCAGAGGTTCACAGGACAAAGGGGCCCGACAGCCTCCCCGCCCCAGGCACTGGGCCCCAGTACCTGGTCCAGGGGAGGGGCTGCTGCTACATTCTGGGACAGACTGTCCGGTGCGAAAAGAGAATTTGGGTTGGTCGGAGCCACAGCCATCCTCAATGCCATCTACTACCCTGTGGACACAGGCACCAGGACAATAAATCGACAGGTAGCCACTGGGGTGTTTCCCAGGATACGATGCCCCAGTGTCACACAGAAGCTGCAGGATCCTGGAGCTGGGAGAGGTGGCTTAGGACCCCAAGAGAAGGGGACGTGAGAGGCCCCTTCCCCTAGGAGACTGCAGTTTGCTGGGGATCCAAGCTTGAGAGAGACATGAAACAAAGAGTTCTGAACTCAGCTCTAAATGACGGGGTGGGGACAGCAGGGAGGTAGAGAAGTCAAAGAAGGCTTCCTGGAGGAGGCTGGGAAGGGTTAGGATGAAAGGGTGGGCATCGAGGACAGGGGTGTGCCTGGCCGGGGCCCGTCTTATCAGCACTGTCTCTGCCAAAGTGCAGTGGCCCAGGGTCTGCTCACCTGGGGCTCAGATCCGGGGGCACATTCCATGGCACAGGGGGCAGCCGCAGCCCCTCTAAGCTCCGAGGGCGGGCAGAGGGGCCGGCCACAGACTGCAAAGCTCCTGCTCTCCCTGGCCGCCCTTTGCCACCCAGACGGGACCGGGGTGCAGTTCGACGAGGGGATAGCAGCTTGGCAGCTGAGGATGAGGAGGTGCAGCCTGGGGACAGCAGGGGGCTGGAGGGCTCATCAGCAGGGGCTGGCGAGGCAGCCGGGCCCTGCTCTCCATCTGTCTCCTTCTCCTCCAGCGTGGACATGAGGGTGTTGTCACCACTCAGGGAGCTGGTGTCTGCCTGAGGACAATGGAGGACAGGAAATGGGCACAGATAAGCCCTTACTGTGCTTCTCCCTGCACCTCCCCCACCCTGGCCTCATCTCTCGAGCAGAGAGGAGCCACTGTGTTAAGCAGGATGCCCACTACACCCCACGCTGCTGAAGAGGAGGCTCAGCTGTGGGGAGGGGAAGGCTGCTTTTCTGCTGCCACCACAAGGCCACCAGCCTTGAGGCATTTGGTGCCCCTCAAAGAGAAAACAGTACTGAAAACTGGTTTGGAACTGGTGACAAAAGTCAGAAATATTCAAAAGCCCCTCAGGGTGGTTCCTTTTCACTGGGAATAAGCAGGGCAGATATAGGACTTTCTTCAGAGGTGGCCTGATAGACTGGGCTCTAAGGACAGAGTGTGGGTGTGAGGGGCAGGGAGCGTGCAGACCCCCAACCATATATGGGGGGCGGGAGTGTTCATCCAGGACATGTGCTCACACAGCACCTCCACCAACCCCAGCCTCTGCCCACCTCACCAGGCTCCCTGGCTCCCCAGCCGCCTCCACACAAGTATCCAGCACCCTCACCTCCACAGGGCCTCCACCAGCACCCAGGTTATAGCTGAGCTCCCCTCGGAGGCCCCGGCTAAAGCGCGGCGCAAACTCGGGGTACAGTGCCAGGCTTTCGTGCAGCCCAGCCAGCTGCAGACACTGCAGGACACAGTATGTCAGACCTTTCACGTCGGCATTGGCCTTGACCACCTGTTCACGCCGGGGCAGTTCACAGCCAATCAGGTCACCCTTCCCTGGGGAGAGAAAGCAGAGGTCAGAGAGCCTGCCCCTCGGCCACCACGGAGAGGAGTCAAGCAGAGCTTTGCTGAGCTCTCCTCATGGACTGAAGGGCTTTCCAGCTGGACCCCAACTGTGGAGCCTGAGAGCCAGGACAGAGGCCCAGAGGGGCCTGGGCCCTGGCAGAACACTGTGGCCCAGGTGCTCCAGCATGTTGGGGATCAAAGCCACAGAGCTGAACACATGCCAACTATACCTCTGAGACCACTGAGCAGCCACCAATTCTAGTGACTTCCAGCCTATCTACGGATCATCGTCCTCCGTGAAAGTTAAACCAGTCAGATCCCCAGGCCCCATCCCTACCTACAGAATCGAAGCATCTACGGGAGACCCATAAGTCAATGGTTTTCCAGCCTCATAGGTGATTTGGGTATAGCTTATACTGGAACAGCGTGTGGCACTGGCAGGTAAGTGCCCGTCGACACAGTGAAAATGTCAGGCAGCCACATACTTCGAGCCCTGGTGCCCCACCTCTACAGCAGACCCTGTGCTGAACTGCGGCTGCGGCGCGTTCTTGTTCTTACCAGCAGGTGTCAATGAAGGGTTTCCCCACCACCCGGCTGAGACTGCCACCTGGCTGACAGTGACTGTAAATCTACAAACCAATCTCAGAACTGTCAACTAGAGGAGGGTGGGGTGTGTATCTTAGAATCAATGATACACGGCGTCTCTGATCAGGGACGTGGTCAGGATTAAGTGAGTTACTGGAGATAGAGTGCCTGACACATAGGCCGCCAATCGAAGTTCATTTCCTCCCTTCTCCTGCTGACAAGAGTCCCTGTAGATCCTTTCAACAGGGATGGTGTGCCACCTGGGACTAGGCAGAGCACTCACTGCCCTCGCAAGCCAGCTCAATCCACAAGCTTTGAAAGCATTTCCCATCCTTAAGGAAGAAGGTGGATCGCTGCCACCCCCGCTGTGGGCTGGCTGCCTCACGCTGCCAGCAGAACTCTAAATGTTCATGGACTTTTGCTCAAACTTAAGAGTAGAATGCATCACTGTTACATCTCATTTTCTTGGTTTCAGGCCATCCTTCTGCTTCCTTCTGAGGGCTGTTTGGATCTCAGTGTGATCATCTGATGAATGAGCTCCCTTTCCGCATGTGTGTCATCTGGAAACAGGATAAGCATGTGTTTCTTGTCTTCATCCAGGAGGTGAGATAAAAAATGAGAAACAGGGCAGGACCAAGGACAGAGTTCTGTGCCACTGGTCTCAGCGACCAGAGACCGCCCTCCAGGCTGGCGTCTCAGCGGGAGCCTCCAGCCCAGCTCATCAAGCCCCATCAGATGTGCTCCTGGCACCACAGCCCAGCCCACCTCTCTTCGCCTTGCCTTCTCCCTCCCCCCACTGAGTGTGCTTAGCTGTTAGTTCACACACAGAGGGAGGGGCCCGAATCGACACTGCTAGATGCATGGTGAGCCTTAGCTGCCAAGAGCAGGCAGGAGGCACTGGATGTTCAACTAAGGAAGCAGGTGGGAGTCAGAATGAAGGCAAAGCAGAAACCAGGTCACGGGGAACCAGGCATTCCTAGGGCACCCTGAGCTGCCAAGCCAACAGAAAAGACAGTTCATTCAGAGCATATGGGCAGGGACAGGATAGAGCAAAGGTGGCATAAGTCCCAGTGCTGCAGACATTCTGGAGGCAAAGGTGTAGGCAGTGGCCATTCTTAAGGTTCCATCTTAATTCTGGACGTGGCTATTCTGGGACCCAGGGCCTGGCGTCAGGGAAGACACGCTCTTGCAGGACTCATGCCAGCTCCCAGCCACGCTGATTCCTCGCTCCAAGCTGAAGCCATCTGTTTATTAATCCACTCGACAATCTTGCTTTGAGGTGACCAGCCTACGGTTGTCAAAACCTGCCTTTTCGCCATTCTGAATCTCTCCAGTTCCCTGTGGGTTCTCAAGGACTGACAGACACATGCGAGTGGCCATTAGCTCCGCCTGCTCAGAGTCCCGGCACCAACCGCACCCAGCCCGGAGGCCAAACTCACGAATGACACAGGGTGAAGGCTGCGGCAGCTCTCGCCTCTCTCAGTTCCAAGCCCTCCCGCCCCCTCCCCCGTGGCATTTCCTTCTCCTGTTTCCTGTCAGAACGTGCTCCTCCTCGGGGACACAGGATGGACGCACAGTAGCTGCTGGTCCTCCCGGTCCTCCAGATTGGCAACACATCTCAGCAGCTCCCGAAGACACCTGTCCCCACAGTGAGTCTACAAGTGCTTGGCTGCCTAGGGATTCAGCTGTGGCTGGGGTGCCACTTCCTTTTCGTCCCACCCTGTCCTGTGAGCAAGTCCCTTGATTGCCCAAGCCGATCGCAGCGCTCCTGCCCTCAGCATCACAGCTGACAGCCCCCTGCAGCCCAGGTGCCGTGCCACCTTGTGTCCCCTCCATGCTCAAGGAGCTCATGTCTCGGCATCCTGAAACGAAGCCCTTCCTCTGGCGCAGAGTCTCTGCGGAGCAGCACGCCTGGAAGCAGCACCGTGTAGGAAGTCCGAGGCTTCAAGTTGGGCAGACTGGCTCTAACCACAGCCTGCCCACTCGTTAACCTCTGGGAACCACCATCTCCTCCCCTGGAAAACGGGAATAACAGTAGTTCCTTGACGCTGGGTTTTGAGGTTTGCTTGCGGTGACGGTGCAGGCTGCACAGGGCTGGCCCTGCTGTGAGACCTGGAGCCAGAACTATCACGATGCCAATTCCATGCTGCACTCTCTTCTTCCTTGTCTAGGGAATGGATTCTCTGTCTTCGATCCTTTCTTTTGCCAAGAAAGGCATATACACGCTGAGTCTAAGCTCTGCTGTTTCCCCCTCGAGGCCCTGGGCTTGCTCTGTCATCTGCCCTGGTACGGTAGCATCTCCCCTCTCCACAGCCCGGTGGTGGGGAGCCCTGTAAGACCACTTCCACTCCTCCCTTTTCCAGCCCTGCTTAAACCCTCTCCAACACTTAAATACTCAGCATCTGAAGTTCCTCCTCGATAGGAGTGCTGCTCCCCTGACCCCTTATAGACTAAAGACTGGTCCTCCGCTCTGGCCTCCAACATCCTCGAAATCATTTCCACCTCCATGTGTTGCCAACTCAAGGTCACTAGGTCCATTCAGCTTGGCCCAGGGCTCCATGGCTAATCCTGGCTCTATCCTGGCTGTCTCACTCCAGGTGGTCTTGCCTGGGTCCCCCCTCTGGCTTTTCTGCAGATGGGGCCCTCTGCCTCCCACAAGCTCATGCCCTCCCTCCAGCCCTCACGAACCTAGGATGGCAAGCACGGTGCCACCCTTGAGCACCTCCATGGAGCCGGAGCAGACGAAGTAGAGGGCCTGGAGGGCGTCACCTTGGTGGATGAGGTACTCGCCCGGCGTGCAGAAGGCGGGCCGTAGGGCCAGGGACAGTGACCGCAGGCAGCCTCGACTGGCCGCCTCGAACAGGGGCAGCTGCAGGACCTCCTTGTGCAGGTGCATGGCGATGTCTGCGCGGAGCTCATCAGGGAGGCTCTGCAGCAGCTACAGGTGGGGAGCAGGGGTGGGGGTTGGGTTGCAGGAAGGGAGGCAGCCTCCCAGCCGGCCCTGCAGGGCTCGGTCAGCAGGGGAATCTCTGCCTCCCTCTTACCCACTTTAGCCCCTTCATGAGCAGCCCAGCTGTCCTCCTCCAGACCTAACAAGGTGGAGAGGAGTCTCCGAACCTTCCTGGCTGTCGTCTGTCCCAGACTGCAGGCCCTCAGGAGGGCGTGGAGGCAGGGAGGCCAGAATTCCGTGTTCCTCGCCTCCCCGCCCACTCCTGAGACTTCTAGGCCAAGGGCACACCCCTTGAGGGAGCAAAGGCTGAAAGGGCCAGCCCTGGAGGCCTGCGCACCTCTGTGGTGTCGATACCGTTGTTCACAGCCCAGGTCGCCTGGAAGTACTCGAGCATGCGCTGCTTGAGGGGCTTGGGGATGCGATGAATGCGGATGTAGTCGCGCAGGTCACGTGTGCGGCTGTGGTACAGAAAGCGGCGGGCGTACATGCGCTGGATGATGGCCGTCACGTTCCCAAACACCACCGCGTGCATCAGGGCTGGGGAGGGTGGCGAGAGGGGGTCACCTCCAGGACTGACCCAGCCCAGACTGACTGATACCATGCTGGACACATCTGTCCTATCCCCGCAACCTCTCCAGCCCCCACACACTCCTGGGCAAGGTACAAGGGCTGCTTGTGTGGCATGGAGTCCTACAGCCAAGTGGGCTCTCCAGGCCCTGGCCTCAAGTTCCTTGAGCCCCTAAAGCAGAACCACCTCTGGGAAGAACCTTGGGACTGAGGGAGAGATGAAGAAGTCTGGGAGTGGTCCCAGAGAGTGGCAGGCCTCACCACCGATGAGCATGGTGCAGATGGAGAAGATCTTCTCCGTGTCCGTGTTGGCCGACACGTTGCCAAAGCCCACGCTGGTGAGGCTGCTGAGTGCGAAGTAGAGGGAGGTGATATAGGCACTGCGCAGTGACGGGCCACCCAGAAGCTCCAGACCCGTCCTGTTGGCCTCGCTGCTACAGTTGTCACTCTGGCCAGAGGTGTTCCCTGCAGCTTGGCTCCTGCCCACCAGGTAGTAGGGGGTCTCCAGCCGGCGGGCCAGCTCCTGCAGCCAGCCTGGGGAGGGGCAGGTGGGCCTGAGTCAGCAGGACAGCACTGCCAGGCTGTGGGTACAGGCATACGTGCTGGTACCCCCAGAGTGGGGACATACCATATGGATACAGATCTACCCCGTGGCTTCCTGCTACTTTCCTCCTCTGCTGGCCAGTCCCCCCGCATTCCCTCAGGCCTCAGCAAGACAAGCACATGAGGATGCGGCCGAGGCTGCCATCTCCTCAGGTGGTGTCTAATGGTGCTGAGGATGGAGCAAGGATCACTGTGCCCTCTTCCCCACAGCTGGCACTAATCCCAAACAGTTGTCCCCAGGGCCAGATGAGTGAGGCCACCTACTCTGCCCTGTCCACCCAGCCCCTCTTGCCTTTTCTTTGAACGTGCCTGCTCCAGAAAGCTGCCTCCCACGCAGCCTCATCCCTCCCCACAACTACACACTCCGCTCAGCAGCACTCTCAAGCATGCACACACACAGAGTCAGGGCTACACACACACTCCACACAGTCAGGAGGACAAGGACACACACGTGTGAGCATGTTCACAGATGCAGGCCACACCACTCACACAGAAAAGGCCTGTGCACACTTGGAAGCCAGACAAGGCCACACAGGTGCCTGCACACTGGTGTCCAGGTTGGGGACACCCTTGTATGGACACGCAGACACCCAGCTGAGGATACTCCAAGGCCACAAGACAGGCACCTATGCACACGCAGAGGCCCCCAGCACAGGTGCAGACTCAGGCCAGCCTGGGCTGCTGGCGGAGGCCAAAGATCACCCCGTCCCCCCATCAACCCCGTGTTCTCTGGGCTGGCCTTGGCAGGGGGTAGGCAGTGGGACCTGCCTTTTCACATGCACCCTGCCCATCCCACCTCAGCACACCCTATGCCGTGCTCCACACTCTCCCAACACCTATGCATGCTGGCCCCCCATAACCCCAACTCTCCTCCTCTCACCCACCTGCCCATTCATTCATTCAGCAGCCTAGTGCACAGGGGCCAGGAGCTGGGGGGACCCACAGGTGCTTACTCCAGGGTAGGAGCTACATCTCGGTTACACAAGGCCCGAATGCCACATGATGGAGCTCAAACTGACACGCTGTGGGCTAGGGCTAGGAGGCTCCCTGGAAGAGGGGACATTTGTAATTGGTCTTAGAGAATGGATAGAGCTTTGATATACAGAAACTTGAGGAGGGGGCGTCATTCCTGATCTAGGGAAAGGCATGAATCAAACCTCAAGATGGAGACAAGTATAGGCAAGCAGCCTGGCTTAGGTGGAATGAGGGTTTGCACTGGGCGTTAAGTTCAAGGCCAAGGAATTTGAGGGGTTGTGATAAGGCCTGAGCCAAGGTGAGGTTCCCCCTCCTGGTACTTGAAGTGCTCTGTGAGAATGCAAAACTTTCATTAGTTGGGCCCCTGAGGTGAAGCCAGTTGTCAGCGAGGAGAGTGGGGGGCTGGAGGGGCAGGATAAGGGTAAGGTGGCAGGGGTGCCTATGCTCTCTCAGCCTTGACCTGGGGCCTCCCTGTGGGGAGGGTCAGGCAGCAGAGGCTGTTCTGAAGGTTGGTGTCTTTCATACTGTGAATTGCCCTGAGCGATTGATCTCCCTCAGTACTTAACACAGTCTTTTGAAAATCCAGCCTATCTCCACTGGGCTCATGGGAACCTGGGGCAGGAACTCTGTGTCTACACCATGGGCGGTGGAACAGGGGAACCAAGGTGCGGAGGCCACAGAAAGTGCCTCCCACAGACAGAGCCAGGCCGGCAGGGTGCCAGTCTCCCCCATGGACAGACTGCCAGGGCTGGGGTTTGGGGGGTCTGGGTGTGACTCCAACCCAGGTTGGGGGTGGTGTCTTTGGAGAAAGAAGGGGGAGCTGCTGACCTGAAGGACTTGGAAACTCTGCAGATGTAAACTAGTATCAGCCCTAAGCGGAACAAAAGCCCTCTGGAACTTAGGGTTCAAGGGAACAAGACTCACCGTGTGTATCTGCAAAATAACCAGCTGCCCGCCCACACTCCCATGCTCTCTGTGTGGGGCCCAGGGGGGGGAGCCAAAGGTGTTTCTAGTGTCAGCTCCGCAGCCCCTGTGAAGTGGCCAGGACAAAGGAGCCACGTGGACTCAAGACCCAGGGTATCTGGGTCCTGTTTTGGGGTGGGGGCTGACCCAGGAATTTGGTGTCTCAGCCCTGTTTGGGGTCACAGCTTTGTGTCTGTTCACTGGGTGGCAGTCTGAGCCCTGAGCAGCCTCTACCACAGCCTCCCTCTGGGAAGGGCTGGAGCCACAGAGCTGGCCCCGCCTGCAGCATCTGTGTGCTCAGCAACTAGAGCGCCTGGGAAACATCCAGGTGAGGCCTCTTGACTGCACACCGGTCTCTGTGGGCTCAGTGACGGGGAGAGAATTCTCAGGAGCCTCCCCATCCCTAGGAGTTGATCAGAGTGGGTTTCTAAGGCCAATCTGGGTCCCACCAAGGAGCGGATGGTCATGACAGGCTATCTGAGCAGCCGGTCTCTTGCCCACCGACTGGAAACAGGTGCTAAAGGCCAGCTACCAGAAGTTACCAGACAGCTGGAGGGTACAGGAAGGACACCGGTGTGTTGGGTTTTGCAGCTTCGAGTATGGAGTGTTAGAAATGGCTGGGTCAGGGTGGTTTGGTGTTAGAGAAAGGATGGAATCTGAGATTCCATGTAGTGGCCTCAGCAGAATTGCAAGGGAACGAAAGATGAGAGGGTGGGAGCAATCCGAACCGAGAGGGGCCAGAGCAGGAGCAGGCCGGGCCCAGGGTGGAGGGGCAGGACATTTCAGAAGTGGGGCTGGCAGTGTCAGGTGCTGCAGAGATGGGGGGATAAATCCTCATCCCTTCAAGGGGATGAGGATTTAGCCCCAGAAAGCCACTGTGACCGGCTGGGTGACGTTTGGGATGACAGGTGGAGGTGGAAGACCTCCTGGCAGGAGGTGAGATGTGAGTGGGAGGTAAGTAGAGGGAGGAGTTGTGAATGTGGAGGTGAAATGAAGGACAGTGAAGACACTGGTAGAATGTGGAAAAAGACCGCGTTTTAGGCAGGAGGAGGGATGAGAACCAGCCAAGAGAGATGTAGCCTGGAGGTGACAAGAGAAGAGAAGAAGGCTTGGGAGCTGAGATAGCAGAAGATGAGCCTCAGAGAAGGTGGCAGAAAAGTGCCAGGCATCAAAGGACACTTGGAGAGCTGGCTCCCTGCACACAGCCTTCTCCAGCTGGGCAGGGGCTTGAAGAATATGATAGAAGTTTGGCCATCACAAGATCATTATGGGTGAATATGACTCCTCCAGGCAGCCCACCAGGCTTTTCCCACAATGCCCAGCTGCTGGAGAACAGCCCTACTGTGAGGTGATGGCTCTGAGACACACCACAACCTCCACACTCTTCTGTATGCAAGAAACACAGGTCTACTTGCACACATGTTGCTGTGGCACATACAAGCACACACACGCAGACTAGTATATGTCTCTGGCACCTTGCACCTGCTTGCAAACATGCCCTGACAGAGACACATGCTCTAACACTTCCCTGACATATGTACACTTAAGTAGGCACAGTCCTGGGCACGCACGCATGCACAACCGAACGACCCCCTCCCCACCACAGCCTCCAGTACCGATCTCAGGCAGCTCAGATTCGCTGCTATCAATCTCCTGCTGGCCGATGTAGAACCAGACGCAGGCCACCCAGTGAGCAAGCAGGGCGAACACAGCCATGAGCAGGGTCAGCACCACAGCGCTGTACTGCGAGTAGCGATCCAGCCGCGGGAGCAGGCGCAGCAGCCGCAGCAGCCGCACAGTCTTCAGCAAGTGGGCTCCAAAGTACTGGGGGTTGGGGGTGGAGGGAGTTCACCCTGGGCCGGCCCCCACTGTCCCGCCCCAAAGCCCACCCTGTCCAGCCACACTGACCACGTTGACTTTGAAGGCGTGCAGCAGGTCAAAGGGCAGGGCTGCGATGACATCCAGCAGGAACCAGGTGGTAACGTAGTGGAGGCAAATGGACTTGGGGGCAAACACCACCTGGCCCGACTTGGACACAAATGTGGTCCGGAAATTCAGCACGATGTCTGTGGATGCCCGAGTGGGAGTCGTGTCAGGGCCAAGAGGAGCCGCTGTTTACTGCGCACAGCACAGTGTTTGACGCGATCCCAGGCCCTCGTCCCGCAGTGACTCTACAAGGGGAGCATTGTTAGGCCTATGTGATGGGGAAAGAAACCGAGGCTTGGGAAGGCTTGGAAAGGTGACCACTGGCCAGGGTCACAGCCCGTGAGTGGTGGAGTCACACTCGGAACCTACGTCTGATTTCGAAGCCCGCAGGTCACTAACAGGAGGAGGGCGAGGGGAACACTGTGGGGCAACAGAGCCCTGAAGACTATCCCCACCGAAGCCCGAGGGGCACCCGGCATGGGGTTGGGTGGGAGGCACCAAGGGCACCTACCGAGAATGAAGAGGACCTCCACTGCCAGGTCGCAGACACTGGGGGGGCTGCGGGCGGCGCTGGGCTCCCAGGCTGTGCTCACACACACGCTGTAGGGCACGGTGACGGCCACATAGAGGGTGGCGAGCAGGATGAAGCCATCCCAGGTGGCCCTCAGGGCCCCACAGTGCAGCAGGATGAATGGCGACTTTCGAATGGCAGCTACTTTGTACTCAGGCAAATTTGGCTTCTCCCCAAACACCCTCTGAGCGAGGCAGGGCAGGGCCAGACGGAAAGGACAGGAAATTGGTACAGGCTGAGTTTGGACAGGGTCCAGGTCAGGGATCCACCTTCTTTCCCTCCCTGCATCCTCAAAGCAACCTCTGACATACGCGTTGGACTCCCCGTGTTATAGATCAGAAGACTGAGGATTAGGTGTGGCTGCGTGGCTTCGCTAAGATCACACAGTGGCCTGCGGGAGGCGCCAGCGCTGAGCCAAAGCCCCCCTTACCCCTGGGGCCAGGACACTCCTCTACACCTTCGATGGGTCTGGCATAGACGGTCCCTCCCTGGGTCACAACCCCAAAGAACTGGTGGGGCCTGTGGGGCTCCTGGACGTTCTCTCTCTGGTGGGCTCAGTTCTGCCCTCCATCTCCTCAGCCTGCCCCTATGCTGCCCCTACCCCCAGACACAGACCCTACTGCTCAATCCACCTTATTGAGCTTGTGCTTGCCCTTGGGTTGCTTCTGCAGGTGCCCGGACAAGTGGTACAGCACAGCCCGGCTCCGCCGCCGGTTGGCATTGAAACCTTTGGTCCCTCCCCGGCCATATCGGCGCCGGCCACCACCTGCAAAAGAAGAGGGGCCCATGAGAATGATGGTGGGATGGTCTTGGGTGGAGGATACTAGTTGCTGGTTTGTGGACAGGTCCGGCTCATTGCCAGGCGGGGGCTCTGGCATTCTCCTTTCCTAGGATCACTTGCATCCCCAGCACTGGACAGTCCCACGGGAGCTTATGGACACCACTCCCCGTATCTGCTTGCAGGAGAGGGAGGTGTGGACCAAGGCAAGGCAGGAGAGGACCTCCACAGGGAAGGGCCTGGGAACACAGGGGAGAGGTGGTCCCTAGGGGTGCAGGGAGTGCAGAGCAAGCAGAAGGCGATCATGCAGAGCTGCAGAAGCTCAGAGAAGGAGCCCAGGGTCCGGTGCAGGGGCCACTGAGGACTTTCACTGTGGAAAGGCTGACCCAGGGCTGGAGGTAGGGGACTGGGGAATGGAGAGGACCCCACACCCCCGAGTGGCAAAGAGGTCTTGGAGCAGCTTGGGGTGCCAGCTTGGTGAGCTAAGGGCCTTTCCCAGCTCTGGGAGGATATAAGAGGGGCAAGACTCCAAGGACTTTAAAGAGGGATTTGGCCTGGGCTGCCCTGTCAGGTTTGTGTGAGGAAAAGGCATAGGGATGGGGGGCCAGGCTCAGCCTCACTAGCTGGCCAGGAGGTGGGATCACAGGCTCCAGTGGAGTTTGTTTGCCTTCAGCTTCTTAGTCAAGTTGACTCCAAAACCCCACCTGTCTATGGGAAACCAGCTTTCCCTGCCTGGAGGTGCGGGGAAAGCAGCACAGGCCTCTCGGCCGGCGGAGCAGGAGTCAACAAGTGCACACGGGTGGGCACCCACCAGCCCAGGCCTGACGTCCCTGACACCAGGCCACTGTGCTTAAACCAATCACCTCCCACAAGCACCTACCTGTCTCCTTCCATTTGTCAGGGCCCCCTCGGTTCTTGGTCTCAGTGATGTCCTTGTGAGAGACCAGGAAGAGGGCCACCTCCCCTTTCTCATTCTTGATGGGTATCACATCCAGCAGACACCAAAATGGGAGCCCTGGGCACAAGGACAGACTCAGCCCAGCTCCCACTCCCCATCCTGCCTGACAGAGGCTCACAGATACCCAAGGATCAGACACACCCACAGCTGGGACACAAGCAGGGTCCTGGGAGAGGAGCGGCAGCCTGCTCCGATTAGGACAGGTCGTAGTGGAAAAGGGCGATGGAATGCAAGGGACAGCAGGGGACAGCAGGGACAACTGTCAGACAGGTGTGTTCACAGATCTGTTCTACTGACACTGGGACATTTTCCTGCTGAAGTGGGGACCCCAAAATGAGGAACGGAATGGACGTGAAGGCTGGGGTGGGGTGGAGGAAGGGGAGGTGGCTATGTGGGAAGCTGGGGTGAGATGGGGGGATGGAGAAGATGAGGATGGAAAGGGATGGCTGCCAGGCTGGGGGGCACCAAAGAGGTGAGGCAGGCTGGCCAGGGGGTCCCTCACCACTCTTCCGGTAAAGGATCAGCTCCGCCTTGAACTCCTTGTGCTCATCCAGGGCCTTGCGGATTTGCTGGCGGACGAGCTCACTGGTGTCTGGCCCATAGAGGAAGGAGCAGGCACAGCCCCGCTGCATGACTTCAGCCCGGGAGAAACCCGTGAGGTCACAGAAGCCATCGGAGCAGTAGACCACAGGGAAGAGCCCCGCCACCTGGGCATTGCCCAGCACAAAGTTACTGTCTGCAAGAGAGCATCTCTCAGAGGCAGGCAGGGAATAAAGAGGCCCAGGGTCCACCACCCCTTCTTTCCATCAAAAGTGAGCTTTACAAAACCTAGGAATCCTCCGTGTGTATGCTGGTGAGTGCAGACAGGGTTAGGGCAGGAGCTGTTGATGAACAAGCATAAGTGTGTCACCTGTGTCAGTGGCCCACTCCTGGCAGTCTGCGTGTGAGTGTATTTGAGAAGCACATGTGTGAACACCAAAGTTGGTGAATGCAGCCCTGTGTGGGCACTGTGCCTTCTGGAGTGTGTACTGAGCAGCTTGGGGTAAGGGATGGGTTTTGGGGTGCCCTAAGGAGGACTGCACCACCCCTACCGTTGCCAGGCTCACTCACCAGCTAAGGACCCAGTTTGACTGTGTGGCTCCTCCCACTGGGACCCTCCTGGACTGAGGGACAATCCAGGCCACTGTCCATTCTGCACCGTTTGAGCCCCAGCTGGGTGACCTGGCTCAGGAATTTAGTGAGTGTGATCAAGAATGAGCGTGTAAGAATGGTAGCTGAACACTGAGCCAGAAATGTATTGGGGAGTGGGGGGTGCTGAGTCAGCAGGCTGCAGGAGCCAAGCACACAGCAAAGCAGATGGAGAAAGCTGAGGGGAGGGGGGCACTCAGTGATGGGCTCCCACGGGCTTCCTATCAGGAAATGGAGACTGTGGAGGGCGCTAGGCAGAGATGGGAAGCCCCACTGGGGGTGTGCGTGAGGGAGGAGGGGGCTTTCACAACTTTCCCTGTGCTCAGAGCTTCGGGAACCCACAAACCAGAAGCTCTGGTCCCCTTCTCCAAATTTCCCCAGTTTTGGTGGGAGTCCCCAAAGCTACCTTTTTGGGGCTGGCAGACTCTGTGGGTCTAGGCTTGGTGTGCTCAGACGGTCCGGTGAGTTTGGCCAAACTGTGCTCCCGAGCCTCTCCTTCTCTATCTCTGTTTGCAAACCTCTTTTCTAAATCTGTTTGCAAGCCCTCCTGGCTGTCCCTGAGCACTGCGCCCGCCTCAAACCCTACCCCGTCGGTGTCAAGGTTGTCGGTGGGATAGAGTCAGACTTACCTTGGGATGGATAAGACTGACTAGGTTGGGGTTCGCGCCCATGCAAGCACACACTGCATCCCAGGTCCCAAACCTGGAGACTTCTAGCCCTGTCTGGCCCGGGGGCGGGGGGCAGTGTTGACTCTAAACCTTTTGGGGGAATGACGTCTGGAAGGACACCGTAGTCCCAGCTAAAAGCGGGAAGCAGGGGGAAGGAGGAAAGGTGAGGGCAGGAGGGCGGCAGGCCGAGATGTCCGGTGCAGGACCCGCGGGATCCCTGGCGAGAGACGGCTCGTTCAGGGGCGAGGGTCAGACTCACGCGTGCCGTCGAAGCGCGTGGCGATGGTGTCCAGAAAGGTGTTCTGCGGCGCCAGGAGTCCCCGCATGGCCGGCATCTTAGGCGGCCTTGGCTGCCCGCCCCATCCCTCCGGGGCGCGGGGACTCAGGGCCTGGGGAGGGCGCCCCGCTCGGCCGCCCCCCGCCGGGCCCCGCGCCCCCTAGCGCAGCCGTCGGTGGACAATACCCACCCCGGGCTCGCAGGCCCCGCGGGCCGCCCGCGCGCGAGGGGGCGTCCCCGCCGTCGGGGCCCGGGGCATGGCGCACGGCCCCTGGAGCTCTGGCCGCCCACGAATCCGGTGCTGCAGGCTCCGCGCTTGCTGCGCTCAGTACCTTCCGTTCGCCACCGCGGCGACCGCGGCTCCCGTTTCGGCTGCCGTTCGGCTCCCTACAGGCTCGGCTGGATGCCGCGTCCCCGCAGCTCCCTCCGTCTGTCGGGGAGCAGCGGCAGCCTCCCTCCCTCCCTCGGGCGCCCGCCGCCTGCACCGGGGTAACCATGGAGACCGGGCACACCCGGGCTGGGCGGCCTCCTTAAAGGGACAGGACGCCCGCCGGGGGAGCACCCTCCCCGCGGGACCTCGGCGGAGGTAGGGCGGGGGGCCGCCCCAAGCCGCAGAGTCCGCCCCCCGGAGGACGGCGGGCGAGCGCCGGGTCTGGCCGGGGCCTCTCAGCCGCCGGGGAGAGGCGTCCGTCCCCGCAGTAGGGACCTGGGGAGAGCGCGGAGCCGGGGGTGGGGGTGCGGTAGGTGATGCCCTCCCCGAGGAAAATGTAATTGGAGAGGAAGCCGGCAGGAGGTGAAGGCGGGTGGTTGGCAGAGGTTGGGGCCCCCAGAGGGGCTCCAGTTGCACAGGGGAAGCCTAAAAGGAGTTGGGGGGGGGGGGGTCTGAGCACAGCTTCTGGGCGTGCAAGCCTTTCTCAGCCTCAACTTTGTCTCCTGGAAAATGGATCCCGCGGTTTCTAGCGGAAGCCGCTGCAGCCTGGAGCTGTCGGGAAATTGGAGGGTGGGCAGCCCTGGAAGGAAGGTTCAGGTGCTCCCTGTGTGTGCCGCGGGAGTGGAAAGCGTATCTGTGTGCGGGGGTGGGGGGAGGCTATACCCTTTGTCTTGTCCCTGTATTTCTATTATCCGTCACCTACTGCTCCCAGGCTGCGCTAGAGGGTCAGGTTGCAAACGCCGGGGACTGGTAGACGTCAGGCGCTGGGAAGAACTTCCCAACCTTGCGCGCGTGGGTCCTGGCAAGCGGTGAGGCAGAAGGACCCAGCCTCCACTCCCCGCCCCACCACAGAACTCGAGAACTGGGCTTGGAGCTGGAGGGTGAGCTGGCAGGGGTGGGGTGCAGCGGCTGCAGAGACCCTCCCCCTCCAGCGAGGGGGTGGGCGGGGCCGGGCTGGCGGAGCGGCCGGAGCGGTTGTCCCCGGCTCCTCTCCGCGCGGCGTCGGTGCCCCCTGCCTAGCGCTGCCAGCGCCGCTCCTCCTCCCTCCCACGGTTTGCCAGCGAGCGCGGCTGCCGCCCGCGCCCAGAGGAGCTGCCGGGGCCAAAACAGCGATTTGTTCCCGAACTGTGGGACCGGAGTCTCAGCTCTCCCCAGCCCTCTAGGAGACACATTCACAGTCCCCAATGTCGGAAAGAAGAGTCCACCGCCCTGCGCGCCCCTCATCTGCAGGACGGGCCAAAGGCCGGGTACCTGCATTAAAATGAATTGGTGCTTTGGGAGGAAAGGAGGGAAGCGTTCCCCTCCCACGGTCCTCTGAATCCTGGAATCCTGCTCCCAGGAAGAAGCAGCCAAGGAGGAGTGTGCAGACGATGTTCCCCACCTCCACTCCCACCTCCACCGGGTCCTGGGCCGGAGTTTGAAGAGTGAGCAGAACACTGGGAAGGCAGAGAGCACAGACTCCCTCCCTGTCATCTCCCCGCAACCCCAGCTCTTGACTCATTCAGCCACCGTGGGGTGTCACAGGCAGGGGCAGGCTGAGGGGGAGCCCTGTTCCGAGATAGCTGAAAGCCACTGTCAACAAGAAACTCGGGAGGCTGCGTTTTGGAGCGGTCGTGGGAGGCCTGTGGGAGTATTATCTACAAAAGGAACAAGGAGAGAGAGAAGGGAAGAGCAAAGCGAGGGGAAAAAATGTTCAAGATACAAAAGATGGAAAAAGCCCCCAACCCCCGGGCGCGGGTGGAGTCAGTCACCGTGTGTCGTGTGGGTGGGAACAGGTGGCTGTCGAGGAATAGAGCCCAGGGGCCCCTCCCTTCTCCCCTCTTCCTACTGCCACCACCCTCCTTTCTGGAGATCCCCAGGTCAGTCTCCCGGCCACTGTGGCCATCCTCTGCTTCCAAGGCTGTTAGGTGGTGGGGAAACCTCAGGCTATCTAGTTAAGAGTAGTCTGGATTCCATTCTAACTCTCCCACTGGCCAGGTCAGTAACGTTGGGCAGGGACGGGGCCGGGTGGGTGTTAATCTCACAGGGCATCAGCTCCTTCACTCATGAAATGATCCTTTCTCTGAGGGCTGATGAACTTAAAGCGGTAGCATTGTTGTTAGAAGTTCCCCTGGGCACCTGCTCTAAGACCATGGAAATGAGCTCAGAATGAAGCCTCACTGAAGGTTCCCCTTTCCCACCAAAATAAACAAGACATTGTGGAATACTTTTAAGGCCTCCAGTACTTGGTTGCCCTGTGGCTGTCTCATTTTAGGCCATTCCTTTTCTTTTTTTGGTTAAAGATTTTATTTATCTTTAGAGGGCAGAGGAAGGAGGGAGAGAAATATCAATGTATGGTTGCCTCTTGTGCGTCCCCTGCTGGGAACTGGCCTGCAACCCAGGCACGTGCTCTGACTGGGAATCGAACTGTTATCCTTTGGTTCACACGCTCAATCCACTGAGCTACACCAGCCAGGGCCCATTCCTTTTCTTTCTTGTGTTCAGTGTTTACTGCAGCATTATTATTAAATTTTATTTTTCAATTAGTTTATATTCAGTATTACTTTGTATTAGTTCAGGCGTGCAACCTAGTGGTTAGATAATCATATACTTGACAAAGCCAGTTCTTTCTTTTTTTAGTGGATGATCCTAGCTCTTGTGAGAAAACCACAATAAACTTTCAAACAAGGGAATCCTGGAAGGCACATGGTTTTATTAACAGATAAACTGTTTTCCGTCTTGTGGCTAGTGGCAGAGGAACCATGTCCGAACCCAGATTTGGCTGAGCTGACAGTGTATCTTACTGTGCCACTGGGCTGGGGTGCTTTATCCTGTTATTTGGGAGACAGCCTATGGAAAGGCAACAGTGTGGCCACTTTGATGAGTGGTCAGACAGTGACCTGTAGCGAGTGCCCACCGTAAACAGCGACCAGGACTTCCCGTCTGGGGCCTAGACTGTAGGTTCTTCCTACTGGAGGGCAGACTCCACAATCCTGCCTGGAGCCAGCAAGGGAGTGAGTCTGAGAAATCTCAGTCTGTGTTCTAGCAGCACCAGAAAATGGGTTTGTTTGAATTCAAGTTCCAGAGAAAGCCTAACTGGGTTACACTGAAGAGTCATAAAAAGGAGACCTGACTTTTCCCTGAGGAATCAGAGTGGGTGGTGTTTTGGTATTTGTTCCCGCTGTTTTGACGGCAGTGAAGGGGCGGGTGGGCGGGCTGAAGCACAGTTGTGCTAGTTGTGGGGATGGTGGGTGAGTTTCCTCACCCAGATAAGTCTTCTTCAGATACTGTTTCCTCCTTAGTAAGGAGTAGCAACACAGGTAATACAACCCCTTTGCACCTGCATGGAAATAACATTCCGCCTCTCCCTGGGAAACCCTGGCCCCTGCTTCACTCCTGCACTCCGCTGCACTGGCGACTGCGTTGGCCCAGGTCAGCACCATCCGCATCTGGCCTGCCCCATCCAGACAGCTCAGCAGCTGGGGACAGTGCGCTTCTCTAACAGCTATGGCAGACAGACAGAGGGGATATGCACTTGGGGAAAAAGTTGCAGAATAGGATGGCTGGATTATTTTTTTTGTTTGTTTGATAAGGTCTGCATGGCCGGTGGTAAAGTCATCACTTTAAAAGATTTGTATTTTAGAGAGGGGAAGGAAAGGAGAAAGGGAGAAATACCAACTGGTTGCCTCCCACACACACTCCCCAACAGGGAGCCAAACCTGCAACCCTGGCATGTGCTCTGACCAGGAATCGAACTGGCAACCCTTGGCAATGTGGGGTAACGCCCAACCCACTGAGCCACACCAGCCGGAGCTGTCTTCCGTTGCTTTATTAACAGGGCAGGAGACACAAAAAGCAGAAGTTATGGTGAGTGACTTCAACCAGTCATAGGTCAACTGAGACATCAGGGTATTGCTCTACGACACCTGGCACGGCAACGAAGTGGTTGCCATCGTCTCCACTTTACAGTTCCTGAAGAGGTTCAGAGATGTTATTTGCCCAAGGTTAGCTGTTCACATGGCTACCAAGTTGTGAAGCCAGATTTAAAATCCAAGTGTGTGTCCCAAAAATGCAGGGTCTTTCCACTCTACAACACTGCCTAGCCACGAGGCCCAGCTTCCAAGACTTCAAGAGCTAGGAGCTCTATTTCTTTCACCTTGCACAGTGGGTGAGGCAAGAGTTAGTTCAGAACCATTCATCTCAGCCTCAGAACTCAGCATAGCGCCTGCCTAGTACATAGCAGTGCCTCAGTGTTTGAAGGAAAGAACGTGCTTCAGTGGCTAAAGCAACCGGAAGTCAAGCTTAACTGATTTGACAGGTGTGGTCTGGCTACCAGTATTATGGTCTGGTACTCTGAACTGGTTAAAATAGTGACCAAATAAATAGCTTCCTTATATCAGTTGGTGACATCCACACACATACTGGTTTGGACACCTGTTTCCTTTTTTCAAAAAATATTTTTAAAATATTTATTTATTTTTAAAGACAGGGGAAAGGAAGGAGAAGGAGAGGAACAAGAACATGGGTAAGAGCAACCTCGATCAGTTGCCTCTTGCCGGCACCACCACCGGGGACTAAACCCACAGCCCAGGTATGTGTGGTGGCTGGGGATTGAATCAGTGACGATTTGCTCTATGGGATGACACCCAGCCAACCGAGCCACGGCAGTCAGGACCCGGAGGCCTGTTTCTTCCATGCAGAGTGCTGCCTCTCGCCAGGTGTGCCCTCGCTGGGTGGAACACAGAGTCCAGAGTGGGATGGAGGCTGATTTTTTATCACGCTTTTGAACCGTTTACATTTTTTTTAGCCATTTTTATATATTGATTTTTTCATAAAACAAAACTAATTGTAAAAAGGACCAGTGAAAAAAGCAAGTTTATAGAATTATAGATTCCCATTTATATATAAAAAAGGAAAACATATTTGTATGTTTGAATTTAGAAAATTTGTGGCAAAATAAATAAGTAACTTATCAGCAGAAGAAGACAGGAGAGCATTTTTACTTCCCATAATGTATTCTTTTCTACCTTTTTAAAAAAACTTGTCTGTATTGCTTTTTTAAAAAGTGAATTTTAAGAATTGCCGTTAAGTAAGCGGCCTATGAAATATCTGATGTTCATAATGAAGTCATGCTAATTTAAATGTTTTCTCTCAAGTGGCACATAACTGCCAAAGCTAGGGAACCCAAAGTTTCAAGTCCTGTCTCTAAGGGGAAAGGGCAAAACATCGATATCTAAGAGGCAATGGAAAGGGAAGGAAAAATGATGATCTGGTAGACAGTGGAAGTTGCCCAGGGTTTGGAGACTCCCTTCTCTTGGGAAACCCAGAGGTATTCTGGGGATCGAGGAATGGACTACACAATGCAAACTTAGGACAAACTTAACTTACCTTTACTGAAGAAAGTCAAATTGGCAAATATAGGAGAGTATCTACAACAGAAGACCCCAAATGAACTATGGTTTAGACAAGATTTAAAAAAAGAATCATAGAGCCCTGGCCAGGTGGCTCAGCTAGTTGGAGCATCATCCATGTACACCAAAAGGTTGAGAGTTCAATCCCTGGTCGGGGCATGTACAGGAGGGAACCGATGGATGTTTCTCTCTCACATCAGTGCTTCTCTCTCTCTCCCTTCTTCTCTCTCTAAAATCAATATCCTTGCATGAGGATTTATACATACATACATACATACATACATAACTAAATAAAGAATTGTAGAACACATATAGTATGATTTCTTTTTATAAAAACAAAACAAAAAACCCTACATATTCATGTATGTATACACATATATGCTTTGAAAAAGGTCTGTAAGAGTATACACCAAATTATTAATAGTCATTACTAACCCTGAGAAATAGAGAAGATGGAATCTTTAACTTTACCCATTTATATTTCTGTATTATTTGATATTTTAAATAGTACTTTTATAAGTAAAAACAAAATGTAGAAAAATCTTCATAATCTTCAATCTTTTTATAGTCACAGAAAAAACATCTTCAAATACTTTTCTATAAAGAGATTTTAATTTTGACTCGAAGACAGCTTTGACAAGCAGTGGTTTCCCATCTGTCTGGGTGGTTAATACAGTTTTGCGTGGATACAGGGATAGACCTCATAATCCTTCAAGGTTACTTCAATCTCTGGATTTCTTATAAAGTAAGGTAAGCAATTAATCAGAAAAGCAAGGCTTTCTCCTGACATCCAGCAGGCTGATGGTGCTGTTGGACAAATTCTCCGAAATGAGGTGATCAGCCTTTTAGAAAATGGCTTCCCAGGACTCCTTCGCTACTGTTTTCATACTGAAACACACACACACTCTCTCTCTTTCTCTCTAAATCTGTTCAACCAACCTGAACCCTGGCAGCTCAGCTTCATCCAGAGCCAGGGGAAGCCCTGAGGCGGCTAAGTTCTGCACCACTGCCACTTACTGCCGGGGCTTCAGACTTGGGAGAACAAATGCTGGAGAAATAAATAGCTTTGCTGTTATTAAATCAGAGATGCTGGGGGTGGGGTAGGCTGGAAGGGTCTGGCACCAGTGCCACCTGCTACATGCAGGCGCTCAATTATACCGTTACATTCACTACTCCTGTCAAGGGGCAGGCCGGGAGGAGAAGGTGCTGATGCAGCCTTTGGCTGCCTGGGAGAGCTGCCGGCAGCTGTGGTTTTGCTCAGCTGGTAAGCTCTCCTTTGGAAAGCCACCGTTCCCTGTCCTGCGAATCCTTCCCACAGGAGCAGCTGCATTGGCTCATCCCCACTTGCACATTTTAATTTGGTTCTGAAGCTAAGCAGTGGACAGACGACTGAGGCATCAGATACCCTCATTTAAGCCCCAAACAAGCTGTCTGAGAGACTTCTACCCCATGAGGCCCGAAGAAAAACAGGTAGTGAAATGAAATCACTCACTGCTAGGAAACAAATGTGGGACTATTTGTGCAGTTGTTTTTATTTATGCAACTATAAAGACTGACTGCAGCAAGTTTTTGATGGGTAACACCTTAGATGAACACTCATTACATTGCTATAAATTTGGTTCAGGATAAGAATACAATTCAGGAAAGAGAGAGAATAACAATAACAAAAATCTTCAAACATTGAAACAAAGAAATTTTTTCCCCTTCTTTTAACTTTAATTAAATGCTACTTTCCCAAAGACTGGTTTGCAATCTAAGGGAAGAGAAGCCGAGGGTTACGCTGCTGTGCCAAGCCAGCAACCGAAACCCTGATCCGAGTGTCAGTCTCGGGCACATTCTGGGAGGAGATGAAGATTATCAAGTACTTCCTGGTGTTCCTTCCTTTTCACCAATAACATTTCCCCTTCATGGCTGATTGAGTGCGGGGCACGGCCCCTCGCCGCCTCTCCTGGGGAAACTGTTGTTGAGAGGGGACCTGACAGGCATGTGTGGCCCTGCTCGGACTGGAGAGGCAGCAGGACTGGCTCTGACCCGTCTCCTCCGGGGGCCTGAATGGTTTGCTGAGGGAGGCCTCTTCGGGCAACGGAAAGTCCTGGTGGTGCCCTGGGAAGAACCCTGCTTCACCTTGGGAAACCTGGCAACGGTTGCCCATGATTCCTGGTAGAAAGGACCAATCAGAATTAATCCATATCATTGGGAAAGGTCAAGGGAAAAAAACAGCTTCCCCTCTGAAAATGGTAAAGGGGAAATCAGGAAAGAAGAAACCAAATATATTCAGAATGGCATAAAAAGTGATAGGCGAAAATTTCTTTTTGTTATTAAATCTAACTATAAGTTCCCCCAAGTCCAGTTACCAAGTTGAATTGTGTGGCATAGACAAGAGAGGCCAACTGGAGTTTCCCTCAAGAGCTCACAGCTTCAGGATGAGAGGTCCTGGGTTTGCGCTGGGGGGAACCCCTTTTGAACGAGGGCTTGGGCTGGCTGGGTTCCACACTGGCTCCAGTGCCACTGGTCCCTGCAGAGTGAGCCTGGCTGCGTTCACTAGCGTTTCCTGGTGCCCGGGATGACACACTCTGATACCTGGAGCCAGACGAATACCATGAGCTATTTCTGTAACGGCCCACACTGTCACGTTGCCCTTGGTTTGTGGGGTCACAGATCTTTTGGCCTTGTGGCCTGTAGCCCTGTCCTCCTCGTCTGTTCGCCGGCAACACCTAAGGATAAAAGAGTACGATGTTCAAAACACTCTGCATTGGGGCACTCCGTCTGTCCCAGTCCAGCTGACAGGAGTATTCTGATAGCACAGTTGTAGTGTTCCACGTTTGGGACCCAGCTACCGCTCCAGACTCACACAATTCTGCCCGCCACCTCGGCCTAGCCACTACATTAGAAATAACAAATCTTTCACTGTTTTTGCCCCTGCCTTTCACCCCTAGGCTCATCCCCACTGAAGAGGAATTCACTTTTCTTTAGCTGGGCAGGAGCTAAAGGAGAACAAATAATATTCTTTGACTCGGCAAAGAATATTGAGTTGTTATAAGCACTCAGTTGGGCAGGTATCTTATCACATGTCTGAACTTTGCAGATAAAAAGCAATTTGTACAGATGACGAACATTTGTTATATAATAAAATAAACATCATTATGATCTTCTTTGCTATATATCATGAACCACAGACCCAGTCATGCCGCTGTGACATGCAGTACATTTTACATTACAGCCCAGAAAGCTTATGGCAGGGGTTTTACTCTTATCTGCCAATTCCAACGTGATACCAGTTCTGAAGAACTGCTGCCAGCACTGCCTTGAACTGTGCTTGTGTATCTTCTTCAAATCAAGGAAAAGAAACTATGGACTGTGCTCCAGCCTTCTGGTGTTCACTCTCCACTGCACCGGGTTCGCTCTCTCGCTCCCTGACGTATTCTGTGCTGTGCTTCTGGGGAGCTGCTGCTTCGCTCTGGCGAGCCTGCCACTGTGGTACTCATCCACTTCAAGACAGTGCGGGACTACCAGGGTGACTGACTACCGGGCCATACTACCTACCTATGACAGCTAGGATCTCTGCCAGCATCACAAAGTCAAGCCATCTTGAAAACAGGAAATCTAAACTGGCTGGTGGCTTGGAACGTACAAACCAAATGCTTCCTCTGGAACTAACTCGGGCTGGAGGCATTCAAAATAAATGTGGAATGGGAATAAAGAGAGGAAGATCAAGTACTGAGAGCTGTCAGCATTTAAACTGTCACAGTCTGGCAGCTTTCTTCCTAACCAGCTCGGTGTAGAAGCCAGGTTACCTCTCGATGAGGCTGACAGGGCCGGCCGCTGCTGCCGTGAGTCGTGCCCGCGGGAGTCTCTCCCGGTGCCGAGTTTTTCTTGTTGGCACTCGTAAGGCTGGGAGTGGAGGCACAGGTGGAGGAGGAAGCAGCAGAGGCATCACACAGGCTGCTCAAGGACACAGATGCAACCGAGACACATCGGGACCTGGTTGAATAGCTATTCTTTGGATGGGACACTGAAACAGAAGTATAAAAAATATGTGGTCGTATGATGGAAAAGCATGAAGGGTAAGGTTCCCTATTTGCCCATTTCACAATTTAAGATAAAGAACTGCCTAGCTGAGTAGCTATAAAGAAAATCTTATACAAAGGGTAACAAAAAGGAAACTCTCCCCTCTGCCCTCTCCCCCTGCCCCCTCCAAATCCCCAGTACCCTGTAAAGGAGCTCGCAGAGGCGGGGCAGCAGTTTCCGAGCAGAGTGCCCCAGCCCCCCAACTAAGGACTTCCTGACACTTGCTACCGTCTCAACTGGCTCTAGCTCTGGCAGTTGACTAAGCCTGGGAATAATAATATAAGCCATATGTTTAGTTTCCTATGTGAGGAACACTAACGCAGCGGGCCTAACCTTTCCGGCACAAGGGACAGGTTTGGTGGAAGACAATTTTTCCAGGTGGGAGGTGGGTTGGGGGAGCAGGCGGAGCTCAGACACACCCTCTCACCCACACTCACCTCCTGCTGCGGGGGTGGGTGTGGGGTGCAGGGCAGAGACAGGAGACAGAGCTCAGGCCAGCACCTGGTTCCTAACAGGCTGCAGACCACCAAGGGTCCATGGCCCAGGGGGATGGGGACCCTTGCTCTAAAGTACAGACTTTGCAAAGAAAGAGGAAGGGGAAGAGCTAAATCCTTTTTTTAAAATTTGAATGATGTACAACATAAAAAAAATCAAGATTAGTTAATATGAACAGAACTAGTTTATGACAAACATGTATCTTCCCAGGGTTCTTTCACAAAAATAATCTCAAATTCAAAATACCAATCAGGCTGAAAAAATATTAACATTTCCAACTAGAATATTGTCTGAATTCAATGGTTTAATGCTGCCCACTAGATTTTTTCTTGGTGTTAAGCCTGGACTAATGTTGAGTTCACAACCACTGCCCTGAATCCGACATTTCGCTTTCACACTGAGATGGGAAGAATGAAGTTGCTGAGCTTAGGGTTGGTGTCACACACACACTGTCCACCTAGAGGCCCCGCCCCTTTGAAGGTATTGTTTAAGTACCTATTATGCACCAGGCAACACAGGTACTGTTACCTCTATTTTGGAGAGGAGTAAAACAAAGTTGCAAAAGGTCAGTGTGGAGGCAGGATTCAAACTTGGTCTGAATCCAGAGCTCCGTGCTGTTTACACTTCGTATCATATACCTCTCAGCACAACAGAGAATGAGTGGATGGATGAAAACATCTTATTGCACATTTAGGGAGCCCATCCTCAAGGCTCAAAGCAACTGCATCCACTGACTTCTTAAAGATCTCAGAGCTACTCTTCATAAAAACAAGCAAAGAAACAAAAACATCAGGGGCGCTAAAGAATCGGTGGAGAAGCTGACCCGCTCCTGAGTGTCTAATTAGTAGAGTGTGGTCTTCTCGTGGCCATCTCCAGTGCCCCGAATTTCTCACCCTCTCACCTTGTCCGAACGAATCGATGTTCTTCTTTAGGGTCTCTACATCACAGGTGAACCGGGCTACTCGTCCCAGATCCTCGTCATATTTACGTTCACTAACAAAGTGCTGGAGAAAGGGCAAAGAACAGCCTCCAGGTGAGACAAACTGTGTACATGGAATCCACAGCTTGCTAAGTAAGGATGAAACAGTTATTTTCAATTGAATTCTTTTTACTGCTTCAAAGTTTGCTCATTGACCACAGTATTATCCATGCTGGGTGACTGACAAAAATTCAGTCATTTTCTTTAAGACCCAAATATAAGTCTATTTGGGAGCTTTATAAAACACTATGATGACCAAAGGCCACTAAGAATAATCAAGAGAAACTGTAGAGAAAGGAGAAGGAATTCACAGCAGAGGGCCATCTTTCCACTGTTGGCTACTCTCTACATTGTTCCATTTTGTACAGAAGCAGAGGCTGCAGCAAAACGCTCATAAGTTACAACATTTAAATAGATGGAAACTTCCTTGGTAAACCCACCTCACTTCTTTATAAAGCAGGATTTTGGGGTCCTTGAAATAGAAACTTCTTGAGATGGAAAATCGTTCATGTGAAAAGTCAACTTTACAAATAAGAAATTTATGCTGCAAATAATTTAATCCTTTTAAGCCAAATGAACTGAGAAGAACCCCTTAGGTCAAAAACTATACTACAGAAATTGTGGGATTAAATACACATTAGAAATAAAGTGCTTCTGGGAATCTATTTCAATAAACAATTCTAAGGTAGCCTGGAATCATTTTTCTTCTTCAGACGAGAAGAAGATGAAAAGGAAAAGTTGTAATTCTTCTAGATACAATTTGGAAGAAGAACTGAACCCCGCAGAGCAGTCCTCTGACTGGCAGTGGTCTAGCTCCACTTTGGATTCTCAAGGGGCAGAAGTGAATGCATCAGAACCTTTGAGGAGCAGTGAAAGGGAAAGAAGAAATAAAAAAATTACCTCTAGCCCTCAAAGCCCTAAAGCATCAGAGTATACTATGGCCTAGGAAAGCATACAAACCTGTGACAAAGCCTTCAGAAATGTAATATCAGTATGAGATTAAGTCTGAGACAAATTCTAGAGTTGGTTGAGCCAAAAACATAACAGCAATGACGGAAATAAAATTATCTGGAAATAAGACATTTAAATTGCATAGCACCCACTTCAGTACACTGCAAATGTGGAGAGAAACAGATCCTTAGTCAGCCTGCAGAAATATTTCTAGCAGCTTTTCAACCACGTGGGAAGGAGAACAGATGAAGAGTGTGAGAGCCAGAATTCCCATCTAATTCCAAAGGGGTTTCCAACTTCTTCCAGATAGTTGAATGAGACTGATTTGCATCAATGTGAAGACTTTCTAAAAAATTTAGTAATGTAGTGCTGAGCAGTGTGGCTCAGTTTGTTGAATGTTGTCGGCAGAGCAAAAGGTTGCCGGTTTGATTCCCCATTAAGGCACATGCCTGGGTTGTGGGCTGGTTGGGCTCCGGTTGAGCATGTGTGAAAGGCAACCACTGTTGTTTCTCTCCATCTCTTTCTCCCTCCCTTCCCCTCTCCCTAAAAATAAATAAAATCTTTTAAAATTTTATGTAATAGAATTTTAGTTAATCAGAAAATGGTAACTTAAAATTTGCATTGTTTGGCTATTTCACTCCAACAGAGTCGAAGGGGAAGAAGTGAGAACAACACCATGACTGAAGGTCTGCATGAAACACTGGGTCAGAATGATGACAAGGACACCTGCAGGCTTAGGTGATCTTCCAGCTATGTTTTCATTTTACAAAGGCTGCTACAGCGTTTCTGCAGCAAGTACTCCTCTTAAATATGGCACTAAATCTCCAGTGTTCAGCAAGAATGGAGGTTAAAGGTGCGGGGGTAGGGAACGCCTGTTCAGACAGCTCACCGTGTATACCAGTGAGCCGTGCCAACCATTTAGAACACCAGTGTCTACAACTACCAATGAATATCCCACCCTCTCTTGGGTTCCCATGCTTAGTCTCAGAAACATTTTTCTTTAGCTAAGAATCTAAAATGCGTGAATGTTAGAGAACCCTAAAGATTCCACCAAAAAACTACTAGAACTGATAAATGAATTCAGTAAAGTAGCAAGTACAAAATACATATTCAGAAATCAGTTGCTAATAATGAACTATCAGAAAGGAAAACTAAGAAAACAATCCCACTTATAGCTGCATAAAAAAATACCTAGGAAAAAATCTAACCAAGGAGATAAAAAACCTATACTTAGAAAATTATAAGACACTTTAGAAAGAAATGTAAAAAAATACAAACACAGTATGGTACAAAAGTAGGTTTACAGTGGTTTGTATGGAAAATAATACAACAGTTAATAAATAAATAAAAATAAATTGTGTTTTGCCTACTCACAGCTACAAACGTATTTTTGCCCCACCTTATAACTTGGAGCACATCTGTGCTCATGGACAGGAAGGACTAACATTGCTAAAATGTCCATACTACCAAAGCAATCTATGGATTCAAAACAGTTCCCATCGAAATACCAAAGGCATTTTATAGAACTAAAACAAAAAATCCAAAAATTTATATGGATCCACAACAGACCCCAGTAGCCACAGCAATCTTGAGAAAGAAAAACAAAGTTGGAGGTATCGCACTACCTGTACCACAAGGCTATCTACAGTAATCAAAATGGCACGGTGCTGGCATCAAATAAGACACAGACAGAGGCCAATGGAACAGAAGAGAAAGCCCAGAGACAAACCCACACCTTTGTGGTCAAATATTTGACAAAGGAGGCAAGAATGTACAATGGGATACAGATAGTCTTCAATAAATGGTGTTGGGAAAATTGGAATCATACATGCAAATATATGAAACTAGACCACCTTCTTACATCATAAATAAGAATAAACCCAAAATGGCTTAAAGACTTAAATGTAAGACTCAAAACCATACAAATCCTAAAAGAAAACATAGGCAGTCAACTTGCTGACATTTCTCATAGCAGTATTTTTTGATATATCATCTTGGGCAAGGGAAACAAAAGAAAAATAAACAAATGGGACTACTTTAAAATAAAAAGGTTTTGCACAGCAAAGGAAACCATCAACAAAATGAAAAGACAACCTACACAACCTACTAAATGGGAAAATATTTTCACCAATGATACATCTGATGGGGGGTTAATTTCCAAAATTTACAAAGAACGCAGACAACTCAACACCCCCAAACCAAACACTTAGATTAAAAAATGGGCAGAGGAACTGAAAGGCACTTCTCCAAAAAGCACATACAGATGGCCAATAGACATATGAAAAGATGCTCAATGTCACCAATCATCAGAGAATGTAAATTAAAACCACAATGAGATATCACTTCATGACTGTCAGAATGGCTACCATCAATAAATCAACAAACAACTGCTGGCCAAAGATGTGGAGCAAAGGGAACCCTCGTGCAATGCTGGTGGGAATGCAGATTAGAGCAGCCACTACAGAAAACACTGTGGAGGTTCCTCAAAAAATTAAAAATGGAACTGCCTTATGACTCAGTAATTCTACTTCTGGGTATATATCCAAAGTAACTCAAAACACTAATTTGAATAGATATACTAGCACCCCCATGTTCACTGCAGCACTATTTACAATAACCAAGACATGAAAGCAATCCATACGCCCAATAGATAACTGGATAAAAAAGTTGTGGTACATATATACAATGGAATATTACTTGGCCGTAAAAAGAATGAAATCTTGCCATTAGTGACAGCATGGATGGACCTAGAGGGTATTATGCTAAGTGAAGTAAGTGAGACAAAGACAAACACCATATGACTTCACTTATGTGAAAAATCTAAAGAACAGAATAAATGAACACACACAACAGAAAGACTCATAGACCCAGAGAACAAACTGATGGTTGTCAGAGGGGAGAAGTGTTGGGAGACTCAGTGGAAAAGGTAAAGGGATTAAGAAGTACAAATTGGTAGTCACAAAATAGTCACGAGGACGTAAAGTACAGCATAGGGGATATGTCGATAATACTGGAGTGGCTATGTATGGTGCCAGGTGGGTACCTGAAATATCAGGGGAATCACTTTGTGAGTTACATGATTGCCCATCACTATGCTGTACCCCTGAAACTAATGTAAAATAATACCGAATGTCAACTATAATTGAAAAATAAAGTTAAAAAGTAAAATAAAGTGTATGAGTGTTAAACACAAGGAACCATTTTATAAATAGATTATAAAATAACCAACATCTCAAATTATTAATTTTTCTCTATAAAATCAGAATTGACCAACCACCATTTAAAATACTTACTGAATACCTATTATGTGCCAAGGTACTATGTGAGGCACGGGAGAGATAGCAGTTCCTGCCATGAGAAGTTCACGATAACTGGGAATGACAGGTTAATCAAATGTATATGGAACATAACTGCACCATGAAGGTGCAAAATATGGGAATATGACAGGAAAATCAGGCAGGATGAGTAGGTCGGGAGTGACCGACTGTGTGTGCTGGGAGTGGCAGGGAGGAAGGAGTATTTTGGACATAGGTAGGGCAGCCGGTGCAGCAGCCCTCTAGCAGGAGGGAACAGGACGTGTCCGCAGGAAAGAAAAGTTAATACGGCCAGAGCTGAGAACAAGGGGGCATGGTATGAAATGAGGATGGTGGCGGGGCCAGACCATGCAGAGCCCTACAGCCCACGATAAGGATTGCAGTCTTTATTCTAAAAGCAAGGGAAAGTTTCTCGTGAGGAACAGATTTGGAGGGATGAGAGGCTGGGGCAGTGACAAGGAGGGTGGTTGCGATCAGTTAAGGGGCTATTACAGAAGTCCATGAAGGAGAGGACAGGGACTGGGTCAAGAACGGTGGTGGGGTGAAAAGGTCAAATGTGAGATTCTGAAGGAATCCAAGTGGACAAGGCCTACTAATAGATTTCATGTAGGAAAGAAAACATTCCCTAAGGTTTCCAGCTTGGACAACTGGATAGATGATGGTACCACTAACAGAGAAAGGGAAGCTGGAGGAGGGCCAGGTTTTGAAAGGAAGATCAGGAGTTCAATATATTAGCTATGACTATGAATTATGGAGATTTGCTATGTTAGCCCCCAAGAACAAGAAGAAAGGCAGAAAGGGAAGGAAAGCTGATTTTACCTTGATATCAGCTCTGAGCTCAATCAACTGCTCCTCTGACATTCGAACAGCCACATCAGTCATCTTCTTTAGAAGTTCAGCTTTCTTTTGTCGGCTGAGCAAAATTTCCACTGTAGGGAAAAAGTAGTAAACTCTTGTGATCTGCTCTCAACAGAATAAAGGAGAAGTGGAAGTACAGGCCTTATAGGATGTATGGGACAGCCAGGGGCTTAGCTGCCCAGCCCCCCAGAAAATGGAAACACCGAAGGTCCGGCTTCTGCCTTCCTGAGGGACTGTGAGGGCAGTTAAAGGTAAACACTTTATGAAATCATAAAGATGCAGAAATCATCTGTTACTTCCCCTTTTCCTCTTCCTGGCAAATAATTTGTTTTATCAAGCAGCACATAAAACAAAACATGCACAGTGGTAAAAAAAATAATTACCTAGAATAAATAAATGAATGAGAAGTAAAAGTGTGCCTCCTACTTCTGACTTTATGGTCCCCTCCCCAGAGGAATCCACTATTAATTTCTTAAGTATACTTCCAAATATATTCTATACATACATAACATAATACATACTTCTCTCCTTTGCCCTCTCCTCACACATGGGTGTGTATCATATACATGGTTCCTCCTTTATTTTAGCTATTTTTACTTAATATATCTTGAAGTCCAATCTTTATTAATACATTGGCTCTCCCTCACTGTTTAACAGCCACTTAGTATTCAACTATATGGATATACCACAATTATTTACTAAGCTCCCTAATGGTGAATATTTAGGTCGTTCAGTCTGTTAAGCATCTTCTGCCTTGGCTGGTGTAACTCAGTGTATTGATGCTGGCCTGTGAACCAAAAGGTTGCTGGTTCAATTCCCAGTCAGGGCACATGCCTGGGTTGCGGCCCAGGTCCCTAGTGGGCAGCATATGAGAGGCAACCAATAAATGCATCTCTCACACATCAATGTTTCTCTCCCTCGCTTTCTCCCTCCTCCCTTCTCTCTAAAAATATCTCTTTAACCTTTGGCATTTTAATTATGATGTGTCTTGGAGTGGGCTTCTTTGCATCCATCTTGTTTGGGACTCTCTGTGCTTCCTGGACTTACATGTCTATTTCCTTCACCAAATTAGGGAAGTTTTCTTTCATTATTTTTTCAAATAGATTTCCAGTATCTTGCTCTTTCTCTTCGCCATCTAGCATCCCTATGAAGCAAATGTTGGACCTCTTGAAGTTGTCCCAGAGGATTCTTATACTAACCTCATTTTTTTGGATTCCATTTTTCTTCATGTTCTTCTGATTGTTTGCTTTTTGCTTCATTATGTTCCAAATCATTGATTTGATTCTCAGCTTCATCCACTCTACTGTTCGCTTGTAAATTGTTTATTTCAATTGGTGTATCTTTCCTTTCTGACTGGATCTTTTTTATGCCGTTGAGGTCCTCACTAAGTTCCTTGAGCATCCTTATAACCAGTGTTCTGAACTCCGCATCTGATAAATTGCTTATGTCCATTTCATCTAGTTCTTTTTGGGGGGGTTTGATCTGTTCTTTCATTTGGGCCATGTTTCTTTGTCTCCTCATTTTGGCAGCCTTCCTGTATTTGTTTCTATGTATTAGGTAGAGCTGCTTTTGCTCTGTGTCTTGGTAGTGTGGCCTAATGTGGTAGATGTCCTGTAGGGTCCAGTGGCACAGCCTCCCCTATCACCCAAGCTGGGTACCTGAGGTGCCCCCTTTGTGTGGGCTCAGTACATCCTCCTGTTGCAGTTGAGCCTTGGTTGCTGTTGGCAGGTCAACAGGAGGGATTCACCCAGGCCAGTCAGCTGCAAGGACTGGCTGTGACAACTTACCACCAACCTCTGTCCTCCATGGTGGATCAGCTGTGCCAGGGCAGGGTGGTGGTGCTCCTATGTAGTTTTTAGCTGTCCACTGGGTGCACAGGCTCTGAGTTTTCCTGGGTGGTACAGGCCAAGGTCAGCCCCCACCTGTGTTTGGCCTGGGGCCACAATATACGAGCTATACAGCAATCTGAGATGGCTGCTACTTGTGCTGGGCTTGGAGGTTCCCAGGCAAAGCCAAGCTGTGAATCTAGGATGGCTGCTGCTAGCACCAGGCCTGGGGCTCACTGAAGCCAGCTGTTGCTTGTTTGATAGGATTTAGGAGTTCAGGCCAGCCATTCAATGGAAAAGCAGCTTGGGTGGACCCAAGCTGCTTTTAAGTTTTTTTAAAAAAGATGTTATTTATTTATTTTTAGACAGAGAGGAAGGGTAGGAGAAATGGAGGGAAACATCAATTGTGTGGTCGCCTCTCACACACCTGGTACTGGGGACCTGGCCGAACCCATAAGTTCGGTAGGGCAGGGTCTCCTGGGATCTCCTTGGCAGGTCAAACAGTGTTAGCCAGGTGGATGGAGTCTCAGACATGGCACCAGCCTGTGGGCTCTGTAGCTCTGCAGGCAGAGGGCTCAAAAGAGGGACAGTGGCCTCTGCTCAGCCCAATGCCTGACACTTCAGCCTCTCCCAGTATGCCACTGATGCCCTCAAGCTGCCACCCAGGTGCTAGAGCTCAGAGGGAATGAGTCTGAGTAGGCAGGTGAGTCCATGTGTGGGCTCTTTAAGAGGAACTGCTTAGGGCTCCAGCAGTTCCTTCTGCTGACTCAATCTCCACTGTTTTTTGCATCCAGAAGTTGTGGGGTCTCTTCTTCTTGGCCTTGGAACCCTGGGCTGGGGGTCTTGGTGTGGGGCTGGAACTCCTAGCCCAAGAGATATCCCTCCCAAATTTTTACCCACCATGTGTGGGTGTGGGACCAGCCTATTCTGTATCTGCACCCCTCCTACCAGTATGCATGGATATGGTTTCTTTAATTCTGTAGTTGTCAGACTTCCATTTAACTCAATTTCTGACAGTTCTGAGTGATGGTTACTCTATATTTTAGTTGTAACTTTGATATGGTTGTGTGAAGAGGTGAGCCATGTCTGCCCACGCTACCATCTTGCCAAACAATACAAATGTTTAAAAATTTTAAAGGAAACCTCTCGGAGTGGACAGTAGGGGCTACAGAGGATGTGGACAAAATCATCCCACCTAGGAAGTAGAACTAGGGGCTGCCAGATGAACCAACCAGAGCAGGGACTGATATTCTTGTCCAGTAAGATTTGATCACTGCTTTTCTTTAAGTTTTTTTTTAAAGATTTTATTTATTTATTTTTAGACAGAGAGGAAGGGTGGCAGAAAGAGAGGGAAACATCAATGTGTGGTTGCCTCTCACACATCTGCTACTGGGGACCCGGCCCACAACCCAGGCATGTGCCCTGACTGGGATTCAACTAGTGACCCTTTGGTTCACAGGCTGGCACTCAGTCCACTGAGCCGCACCAGCTGGGGCAGATCATTGCTTTCCTGAGTGGGAATTTTTACTATGATTATTTCTTCTTTCTCTACCAGCGTAATATTGGAAGAGAGAACATTTAACTTTTAGTTTATGGGGCCCCAGGCTGCAGTGTGCCTTATTCAGACCTGTTCAAAGGTATGAAATTCTCCAGAAGTCCAGGACTTTCAGCTGAATATACTGACTACATGAGACTTTGGAGGTGAGGCCATTGAGGAGGAGGTGAGTGTATTCTCATTTTAGGAAAAAGAGGGACATTAGGTATAGACTGTAGAAAAGACTGTTAGTGACTTCTTATCCACTCTCCTTTTCATCCTACCAGGAGTTTCATGTTTTTGGGCACCGACCAAATAAGACAGTCATGTAATACAGTTTGACCATTAAGAGACAAGCAGAACTTACAGGTCGAAGTCTACAGGAAAGCTCTTTAAAGGAGGCTTAGCCAGCATGTAACACTGCCCCTCCTTGACTGGAGCCTCTGACCATAAACACACTCTAAGGATGGCTGGAGAAGGAGAGAGCAGCCTGGGTCCCTCATGTCATTTTGGAGATGCCCTTTAGCCCTGGATCACTTACTTCTGGGCCTTTCATTTCATGAGAAAAAAATAAACTCACATTTATTTAGGCCACTCTGTTGCATGTAATCAAACTCAATTCCTAACTGTTACACTACTGAGAAATTAGCCAAATTTATTTTATAAAAAACAGAATTCTCAAAGAGCTACATCAGGTATTCCAGAGAGCTGAACCTCTTCAGTGAGTTTTCTTAACCTGATTGCCACATATATGCCCGCCACGGATTGCCTGTACCCATGTCAGGTTAATCAGTAAGGGCACCCTGTCCCAGTAAATCAGGCACATGCCTATATAAACACCAAGGCTCAGAAGCTACAAATGATGTATTGGTTTGCCTCCCAAGATAAAAACCCACTTGCTATTTGTATCAAATTCACTTTCTCTCAGCTCCAGCACTCTAGGATTCTAAGATGGAGAAAATGTGTTGAGTAAAGATTTCTACATATATCAGTTTAACTCAGAGAACCTAATTATATATGACTTTAGACAAGCCACACCTTTTTCTTCATTTATGAAATGAAAAAAAAAAAAGAAACCCTCAGTACTTTATAAAGTTGATATAAAGATCATACATGAGTAGAAGAAAAACTCTGAATGGTGAAGCACTCTAAATATATAAATTAATAAAACTATAATGTGTATTTAAAAAGCAGCACCTCCTTGATAATATTGGTAAATGAGTAATTATATTAGTGTCATTGCAAACCAGGATTTTTAGCACAGGAGAAAGGAGACATAGATATAAAACTGATGAAGTTAAGTAAAACTGTAGCTCTGAATTTGATAAAATAATATTGGCCATGAACTGATAATTGGCTGAAGCAGGAGATGGGAGTTAATTATATTAGCCTCTCAAATACAAAGAACACATAAGTATATGAATGAACTAAAACTGTCACATTTAGAAATTTCAGGATATACTACTCAATTTAAAGGTAATCTTACTTCTGAAAAAAAGTAGGTAACATCTCTGCTATATATTGAACCTTTCAGGTTAAAATGAATCAAAACTGAATTCAGCTCAGTGCTTCAAAGTTGCCTCCTCTGGTCCATGACCATAGGCAGGAACTATTTCATTGTGAGTCATCACCTCAACCTATTTCCATTCTTACCAGTTTAAGAGCAGGTTCAAAGAAACAACCTTCTTAATTACAGATCTGGCATTCAATTCATGAAAGTAAAACCTGCTGCTGAAAGGCCCCAAATTAATGCCACTGTATAAACTGCAGTTGACATTTTTCTTTTCATATAGCTGTAGGTACATCTTTGACTATACTTATAGAAATTACCAAAAACAGGTATTTATTCTTCCATATAAAACCTCAAAAATTACCCAAGTTAGACTCTATTCCTCCAGAATCTACTTCAGTAAGCTTTCAGGGGACCCTAGCCAAGGTATCCTAAGCCCTCAGCCCACTGCTTTTCCTCCAACCAGTGCTAACAGACACAGCAAAAACTGTCCTACAAACCGAGGAAACAGAGTTCTGACACGGGGAATGACATGAATGTGTACACTAAACTGAGGCAGCCTGGTGATGTCTCTTCCGATTATGCCAAAGGAATTCTTTAATCAGTGGACAAATAAATAAATACATGAATAAATCAAGCAAAGGTGCTGGAGAGAGACTTTATTTTCCTAAGTTGATGCCATGGTGGCAGACACCACGACCGTCTCTCATACATGGAACTCTACACCAAGAACATTAAAATTTGAAAATATTTTAAAAGCAGGCTCTTGAAAAGCTGTTTGCCTGAAAAAAATTCATATACCAGTGCAGTACAACTGCTCAAGACTGTTTAACTAAATATACAAACTCTGGTTGTGGCATTTATATTGAGCTTTTGTTATAGGGGTTGAGAGGCAGGTACCTACTAAGTGGTAAGATCTTTAATTAAAGATGAGTCTTACTTGCTTCAGCTTTCACTTTGTCCATTTCAGCAAGCAATGCCACTTCTCGATCCATTAAACTAAGGAGGGATGACAAAAAAAGGTTTGATCAGAAACTTGAAACAGAGAAGTAACACACTGTAATAGAGCAGAAAGACTTAGGGATTCTGTTAACTAAAAGCATACTACCAAGTAAACGCTGTGTAGATTACAAGGAAATTGTATTACACTCAGTAAAGAATATTTTAAGGATTCCAATAAACACACCTAATTCTTTTATTCCTGTATATTACAGTATACCAGTAGATGGCAGTAGCAAGCTAACAAACACATTTCTTGGTAAACTGTGCTTAAAGCAAAAGTCCTTATGGAAATCACCTATTCCCACATATGTGCTCACATATTTTGTATTTTATATTTTGGCCTATAAAGTTCGACAGCTTTGCTTCTAATGGATTTACCAGGCAGTACTCCAGCTGGAGTTCTGAAATACCCACAATTAAAACTTGCATACCTACAACATTTTGCCACAGTTGTACCAAGTCTCCTGGCACTATGAAGGGTAGTCAAATTTGTTCTGGTTTTGGGTAAACATTTACTAGTAATCCAGAAATACAGGATCAAAGTTTTCTGGTAGGCTTTTTGCAGAAAAAGAACATTAAATTGACAGCGCCTTTTCCACGGCAAATGTACACCTCATGAACAGCTTTTCCATGTCCTTACAAAAGAGCCCAGATGGTAGGCCACCCTAATATTCAATCTCTGGGTGCAAATAATTTTTCTTTACCATTTTCAGTTTTGCTTAGTGGACAAAGAAATATATAAAATTTTATAACATCTATTCAATCATGAAATGTTCCAACTTTTTTTCAAATTTGGAATTCATTCTGATTTGTCCTTTTGAATGGGAATTACAGGGTTAATAAAAATTCTACTCTTTCTTGCTGTAAAACCAATCATACACACACATGTATACTAATTCAGTTTAGCTCAGCCTGTAGTTACGTTAGCACAAAGCAGTTAATACAGAGACTACGGTGTAAGATATACAAAAAAATGTAAGGCAGGGATATTTCCTCAAGGAGTAAAATCCTTTATAGTGAAGTGTCAGAGAACATAGGTTTGATAATCATTATGCACAGTATGTTAATAAATGGACTTGGGACAAATTTGGTTGGCACATTAATCCAAAAGCACCAGACTGCAGAGAAGATACAACTTTTGCTCCAAGAACTCTAGCAGCATTTGTAATACCTCAAAGTCAAAACAAAAGCACAGCTGACACAGGAGCTGCTGGGCCTGGAGTTGGACGTGACTTCTCTTCTGTTGCTGAATCACCGTAAGATGCAGATGACAAATTTATCTCTGACAAAGCTTGTAAACTATTTATTACAAGGCTTCAGCGAACAAGTAAGCTTTTTGTAGTTATGTTAATAATTAATATTTATAACAATCTTAATTATGGAAAGTAGACTGTCACATGACCTTACTTTTAGCAAGGAAAAAAATTTTGCCCTGTCACAATCAGACTTTTTGGGGCATTGTGAGCTAGTACACTGTGATGGCACTTTTTCCCCCGAGAAAAAGCATCCATTTAAATAAACTTTGTTGCTTCATTGATTCACAAGAGACCATGAGAAATTCTTAGGGTAACGCATGGACAACCATACAACCACCCCATTAAAAAAATTACTTTACATTTTTATGCCAAAAAATACTGAGAAGCAGTAAGTATTGTTTCCTTTCATTTTCAGGTTGCCTTCTCTTGGTGACATATACTGAGAGGCCCTGTGGTGTTGGCCACACATTAGACAGAGAAACCTACTGGTCAGCTAAAGCCGTTAGGGTATTTTCTTGGAGAAAAGCTTGATGAGTATTTGCAGTTTTGCCATTAAATTTTTTACAGGCCTTTAAAACACAAAAATGAGTAAATATTAAAACACATGTGGTATTTTGACATTAAGCTTGATTGCTGAGAAGTCCATTCTGAAGGTATCCGTCTCCAACAAACACACTGCCGGCCTCACAACTAGATAAAAAGCCAAGGAGCTCCCCCCACCCCTCACATGGAGTCCCTCTCTTAGAAAGCCCCCTGTGACCTAGATAATGGACCACAGGAAAGACCCTGCTTTCCCTTCTGCACTTTAATTCCCCTCTTATGTTTTAAATTCACCAATAAAGAATGAACCTGCAAAACCCTAGGCACCCACGCTTTAACCCAATAGAGGAAGCATCCAAGGAATCCTTTCTCTCCTCCCACTCCACCTTGCCCTGCAGCCTTGGGAGTGCTCCTACCCTCCAGAACCTGTGAATAATAAGTCTTGTTTTTTTAAAGTCTCTGGCTGTTGTTGCTGAAGTGCATCTTACAACTATAAGAACCACAAGGGCCAGTCCAGCCACAAAGGCTCATGTGGGGGACTGCCACAGTACCCCCAGGCATAGCTAGCTGATGGCACCACTGTTAATAGGCTGAGACCAATACAAAACATATAATAACTTTCTTATTAAAAACACATCACATAATGTAAAGTTCTAGTTGAGTAGAAGAACAACCATATTTTTATGTCATTCACACTAAAGCATTTAAGGGCAGTTCATGTCTCCAATTTCCAAATGGTTCCACCAAAACACACACAAACACACACACAGAAAATACACTGATCACTGTGCTACCAATGTTTCTATTTCTTGAAAGTTTTCATAACAAAAAGTTGGGGAACTACGTGCATTACAAAATAAATAGAGAAGGTGGAAGAGTTCAAAAGTGGGAAGTAGGCTAAGCATAAGAATAAATAGCAGGGAAGGGATAATGGGGGGAGGAGGGAAGGGTTTTCAGGAACATCTATAAAGGATACATGGACTAAACCAAAGGGGGTGGGTGGGATCAGGGGTAGGAGGTGGGATGGCTGAAGTTGGGGGGAGTGGGGAGGGGAAATGGAGACAACTGTACTTGAACAATAAAAAAAATTTTTAATAAAAAAAGAATAAATAGCAGAACAATTTTTTACAATTAAAAACAACAATTTACTATAATACAATTAACAATGAAAAAAGCTAAGCTAAAGTTTCCCGCCTGCACCTAAGCTAAACCGTGGTCCCAATGTGGATCTGTGGCCAAGAGATTCAAAAGCACCTGTACCTCAAGGTAACAGGGTTTCTTCGATGCTGTAAATGCAAGCAATGGCTCCCCTCAGAGTGTCTGACAGGGCCGTTCAGACCATTACACTTTCTGCTGCCTTGCTCACTCCAATCCATGAGGCTACTAAGCTTGTAACCATTCCCTGAAGGCTCTCCTGAATAGAAAGATACCACAAGAAGCATCTGATATTCTGGATTTTGAAACTGCTATTGTAATTCAGCTAAATATTGCTGGCACTCTGTTTAGAAAGGCCTTAGGTCTTATTAAGCCTGGACCTTATAGAGTATAGAGAATTTCCACATCTTTTCTTCAATCATGATAGATGGCTTTAAATGATTACTCACCATTACTAAGGAAAAGTACTGGTAAATATCTGAATGTTCTGTATTTCCTTCCCTGCTTACCTGTATTTTTTATCACCTTCACCATTTGCTCAATTTACTCTATAGCTTTTGTGTAATTTAGCTGCTTGGAATAGGAGTTTCTATATTATTATCATTCATATCTCTACGCTATATTGTGGCTATTGTTTAAAGCTAAGCCCTCCAATTATTATATATAACATGCAGCTTACTGATTCTAGCTCTTGCCTTGGGTACCAAAGAACTATCTGTTCACTATCATTTGTTTATGGTTGTTGCATTAGAAAACAATGTTATAATGGAAACACAATTCTGGCAATTCCACAGCCAATGATTTCATAGGATAATACTCTAAGCCATTCAATAATGTTCTTAGAAAACATTTGCACTTGATTTTATTTGCTGAAAACCTAAAACCTATTTATTCTAATTCCATTAGCCAACCAAAGCAGAACTCCAAGCAAAGTCAATACAAACACCTTCACTTCTCTGAAGACACTTCCCTCTTCACATAATAAACAACCAAAAAAAAAAAAAAGAGCATTGTCAGGAGTTTTTATTAGCAGAGAATTAATGATACTTCATGTGTTTTGTAAAACCCATACTCCCCACCCTGGCCTTACTCGAGCGAGCATGGTACACATCTGGGCTCAAAATAAAAACAAAAAATACCAGTTAGGTAGCTGGGTCATATAGAGAGCTGAAGAACTGGGTAGTAGCTTTTAAGAAGTTGGAGTGTGAGCATAAGCTGTTCTTGTGGGACAGGCCCTCAATGAATAACCTTTCTTTCTGTTCTTTTCCAGTTGTCAAAAGCATCTTAATTCTGCAGTAATACTGGAGACCGTATGACTCAGTAACATTTTACGATACATTTAGAAAAAAAACCCAGCAGCAATCTAGATTACCGAGGAGTTTATTATTTAGCTTTCTAGTTGGTAAGAAAAACTGGTTAGAGTTAAGCCACATAATGAGTGCCTGATGACATCCTCATTTGAAACTGTGACCTATTTTTTTGAATCTTCTCTCTGGGCAATTGGAAAATACAGGCAAACAGATACCTGATAAGACACAGAAAAAGGAAGCATGGTATAATAGAAAAGTGTTGCTTAACACCAAGTATGACTTTGGGCAATGTATCATCTTCTGTGATCATCTTTTCTCACCTATAAAATAGGTTTAATACTACAAGTGATATTGTTATAACATATAACATATATAGCAGAGAGATTGTGCAGGAAAGCTTCTGACATACATTAATAGCTCAAAAATGGCAGCAGCAATTATTCTAAGTGTCTGTACTAATCTTGATTTCTCAGTTTCCGAGTATCTATTTAGTAAAATGCCTCCATAATAACTCTGATAAATCATTATACAATCCAAATTCATTGTCATAGAAATTCTTAAATAAGCACATACACAATAACACAGTGTAGGCAGTTATATAGACTCTAAGATAACTTGGAGTGAAAAGAATGCATTACAAAATTTCAGTCTCAGTATGATTACAACTATTAAAATTACGTGTGCAGATAGCTAAGGGACCCAAGGAAACAGAGAAAATTATGTGTTAAGGTGGTAGAGTTGCATGACTTCATTTCTATTTTTCAAAAAAACTATTGCTATAATTATGGGAAATAAGAGAGAAAAATGGAACCTTTAAAAACAGGAAAAAAGAATTCAGATTCTCTCATCAAATGCTCACCTTCTGCCTTGGTCTCTGCCTTTACCCCACACAGCTTTCTAGTACACGCTGTCCCTTAACTCACACTGCACTCTAGTCCCTACAAGTCCCTTCTGTCCCCTGCTTGTACCATATTTCCTAAATGCAGTATTTTATCCCCGTTCTTTCTGCCAATGTAAATTCTATGCCTCTTTCAAAGCTTGTTAATGATTCATTTTCTCCAAGAAATCTTTTCTAATTGACTCTATTCCAAGTGAACTTTCCCTTAGTCTTCACACTTTTCCCACAACTAAAATCTGACCTGAAGAATATTTGAATCACAAGTCACTTCAAGTTGTGACTTAAGAAATGTAATATAAGATCTTGTGAATTACAAAATTTTTAAAAGAATGAATATTTGGATAGAGTACTCCTTCTTACAGTGGTATTTTTGAACTAAAAAAAATAATGATAAACTCTTCCACAGGCTCAGTCAAAACCCCAGTCCTCCTCGTTCAACTCTGTTCCATAATGACTAAACTCCTTAGTCCCTGAATTCTCCCACAGTGGGGTTTCTCTGCTACTACATAGCTTTAAGCTGAGGAGGAAATAACATATATAACATGTACCAATAATCCCCAGCCTTCTTCCCAAGCTTTAGTGGGGAAGTGAGCCCTCAGTGATGGATGGAAGGAAGATCGTAAGGTTACTGGGAGTCAGAAATCGTAGACTTGAATACTGAGTCTGCAACTTAAGATGTCAGGTTAGGCAAATCACTTAATCTAAGACTCAAATCCCCTCCCCCTTTTTAAAGATTTTACATATATTTAGGGTGAGGGGAAGGAAGGGAGAGAGGGGGGAGAAACATCAATCGGTTGCCTCTCCCACACCGATAACCAGGGACTTGGCCTGCAACTGAAGCACATGCCCTGACTGGGAACTGAACCGGTGACCTTTTGGTTGGCAGAACAATGCCCAACCCACTGAGCTACACTAGTCAGGACTCAAATCGCTTTTAATGGAAAAAGGGATTTGACAGTAAAGTAGAATGAAAAACTCCTACATATATAGATATATGATTGAATATGTTTGGCAAATGTAAACTAATTTTCATGTCACTAATTACTTCCAGAAATGATTAAAAAGTTAAATTTTTATCAATTTATTTATTTATTTTAAACAGTTAAATTATTAAGTCAAAGAACACTGAGACTCATGGAGCTACTAAGTGCTAGTAGAAATAAGGTATTAATATCCTAAACATAAAAAATTGAAGAATTTAAAACTATAGAATGAGATGTACATTTTAAAATAATACATCTGCACATTCCTTTATTTCTATGTATTTTTGACATTTTTGAAAGTGCTCTTGTTCACAAAATGATTCCAGCATCTCTGTATAAACTTTAGATGTAAGGATCTGAAAGTCTTTGGTAAGACTACTGGTAGATTAATATAAGAAGAAAAGAGAACCTCAAGTAAAAGGAACTTTTCTAAAGTTAATGAGAAATCAGCTAGAAAAAATTTCAAAATCTTAAGTACAGACTCACATTGATTGACTTTATGCACTATAAATTTCAACTTTCTTGACAGTCCTTTTCTCCTACCCATTTTCTCCTTTTGTAAGTACCTTTTGACTTTCAATAAAGTAGGAATTTCTATTGAAAAGGCAGGTTGAGTGTGTGTGCTCTGTGTATTTTTCACCAACGCACGGCAACCACCCAGAGCAGTGTCTGTGCTCTGGCTTCATGCTCCACTCCATCTCTGCTCCTTAACAGCCTTATATCACACTGAAGTCGACTAATAGCTCCATGATGTCAGACAAATTTTATTAGTAAGAGAGTAGCTTAGGTGCAGAGATGATTATTACTGAATCATCAATATGAACAGATTTTTAAGTGTTACATACTAGAAAGCTGGGCCTAAGGATTTATACCTTATACCTAAGGATTTTATACCTAAGGATATACCTAAGGATTTTACCCTCCTGTAGGTATATGTCAGTTTTCATTTGGCCTCGAAGTGAAAGCAGTTATCAGTGTAATTCTCCTAGTGCCCTGTTCTTTTGGCTACAACCAACACAAAAAATGCTTCCTAAGTGACAGTAACTCCAAGCTCTGGTTCGGTGCCAAACAGAATTAGCTCACCTGTCAATTATGTCTCGAACTAACAACTACAAGGGGCACTGAAATAAGGTAGTTAAAAAACCCAATCAGCCATACAGAAGGGTTTTATACCAGCAGGAAAGGGCAGGTAATCTCTTTCCTCAAATTAAATTGACCTGGTTGCTATGTCTGCTAATCAATCCTAAATACACAGTTCCCAGGCAGGAAACCATCCATTTGTCATTTATTGAAGGAAGCTCCCCTGGCTAGGTTCCAAGTCAACAGGAACTCACAAATCTCTCTCCCGGAACTGTGTTTCCTGCTCCAGGCTGGTTCTGAATGGAATCAGATCCTGTGGCTAAGTAACCAGTAAGCTAAACAATCACGGAGACCAGAGGCTTATCAAGGCAACCTTGTGATGACCTACTTTTAGCACTTTATTCTTTTCCAAATGAGCCAACAATATCTGATACGATCATAATCCAGGGCAAAGGGCATAATGCTTCCTCACAGAGGTGCAGAAAGAGAAGAAATCAGTTACCCAGAAAAATTTCCATTAGTTAGAATCTTAAAATAGGTAAGTGTGGAAGAATTAGTTGAATTTAGATAAGTACAAGGATATAGGAGAGCATATTAGGCGGGCAAAGTAGAAAAGGAAGTGTGAATGTTAAGTTTTTGAGACACTGAGTAATGTGACTAGAGCAAAAATGTTTGTAGAAAAAAATACTAAAGAGCCCTGGCTGGTGTAGCTCAGTGGACTGAGTGCTGCTGGCCTGCGGACCAAAGGGTCGCAGGTTTGATTCCCAGTCAGGGCACATGCCTGGGTTGAGGGCCAGGCCCCAGTGGGGGCCACATGAGAGGAAACCACACACTGATATTTTTCTCTTTTCCCCTCCCTTCCCCTCTCTAAAAAAAAATAAAATCTTTAAAAAATACTAAAGATATGACGTTAAGTTTTTAGCTATACGAGTAAAAACTGAAAGGGGAAATTTGTCCTTTCAGGACAAAGTAGACTAGTAGTACATGAATTATCTACCCTAAAACTACTTTTTGGTTATAATGGTTTAATGGACCATTCTACAATCTGTAAATAAAACACAAAGGGGTCAGCAACTTTTTGGAGGCTTTATTCTGCATCTTTGTTAATTCACTCTTCTTCAAGTCCAGAGAACAGCAGGTCTGAGGCTGCCCATACTTCTCTTGTCTGCTGTGGCATAAAGTAACCAGACTAAGTTTGTGAACAGAGACACAGTTGAATGTGACCTAAGAGGAACGTGAGAGGCAAGAAAACAGATGGCTGGGAGGAAGGGTGGTACAGGTTCTCTCTATTCATGAATACTTCCTCTCATTTTTCAGAGATCCAGGCAAGTTTTATAAATAAGCAGAGCAGACAGTCCTCTATCCCCCCAAAACATCAACCTAGCTGCTTTTCTTCCCATCATTTTACTTAATTTCCTCCTTAAGTCTTTTCTAGCTTCAAAAAAGTCCCTTATAAAAATGCAAATGCATTCCAGAAAGGAGGTAGGTTTAAGTATCAATTAACACCTAGTATCTAATAATCAAGACCGCTTTGGTATTTTAGAAAAACATTAGAATATACTTCTTCCCCACGAAAGATTCTATAATCAGGTACATTTGAGGAACATCATGTAGCTCAGCTCCCTCTTGTAGATTCACAATGTACATTAACATTTTAAAGGTACTAGAAGTTCAGTAATAAAACTTCTGTTAAAAGTATTTTAAAATCTCTTTAACTACCAAACCATATTTCCTCTACAGAATATCTATTAATATATTTTAAGATATGAGCATCTTTTGGTCACAGCTTGAAAAACACAAAATTAAAACAACTGGTTTTAAAGCATAAAGAGACCACTAGGGTGGGGTGCACTAGGAAGGACGAAAGAAGGTAGGAAAACAAAGACAGATCTGTTCTATGTTATAATTTTATTCAGCAATATCATGTCATTGATTATAGATCCCTAAAGAAAGAATGCCTGATCCATTCTATAATTATTTGTCCCTTTCTGAACAACATTAACCACAGGCCCATTTCTAGAGCATTAGGAGTTCTCTGTCCTACTCATTCCCACACTGGCCAAAAGCAGCAGAACAAAGCAGAAAGCTGAATCTACTGTAGGAATTTTAACTCCCCCACTATGTAGAGTAGTTAGCAGTCAGGAATTAAAGATCCTGATGAACGGCTGCCCATCTTTATAAATGATTGCTTTTGTGCTACTAATATCAAATGCAACTTACCAGCTCTGCAATTCAGCAAAAGCTTGTTTCATTTTCTTAATGGAAGCATCCATCTCTTCTTTCACTATAACTCGATATCGTGCAAGAGATACTGTGCAACGTTGGAGGTCTTTCACAGATTTTTCAATATTGGAACCTTGGGAAAATTCCCAAAGATTAGTTTTACAAAGCATAGGTAACTTGAAAGACGGATCCAAACACCTAAGCATGTCAAGTAACAAATGTGTGGACTATGAATGTTTCCTATAGGGCCATCTTCTTCAACAAAAAACTAATGTATTCATAGATTTAAAAATATAATAAGTACCCTGGCCAAGATGGAGTAATAGGAATTTAATTCACCTTCCTGTCTTATACAACTAAACACACACACAGTATCTGAAACAACGGTTTTCAGACAGTGGACGACAGGCAGTACTTTTTCCCTGAGAAAACAGAAACAAAATAAGTCAGGTCTATGACTGCCCCAAGAGTTTCCAGGCTGCAATGCAAAGAGGAGAGCTCCTAAACTGAGCCAGGAAACCTCCCTGAATTGAGGGGACGGAACTGAGAATTCAGGGAGGCCAAGGTCAGAATTCTCAAGGCAGAGTACTGGAGAGGAGAGAGCTCTACGAAGATGAGAGTTGTACAAAGATCTACAGAGGATTCCAAATGCATGAGTGTGAGGAAACTACTCAAGACAAGGAAAAGAACCACTGGAAAGAGCAGGAGAAACAGAATCCCCAGAGCTCACCCAGGAATAGTTGTTTTGTGTTTTTTTAGTCCTTACCTAAGAACATGTCCATTATTTTAAAGAGAGAAGAAGAAACAAAGAGAGAGACACAGAGAGATCAAATGGCCCCCTTCTGTACCCACCCCAACCAGGGATTGAAACTGCAGCCCAGGCATGTGCTCTGACTGGGAATTGAACCTGCAACCCCATGTTGTACGAGACAACACTCCAACCAACCGAACCACTCCGCCAGAGCCAAGCCGGAAATAATTCATTTTCACACCAGCCAGAGTGGGGCACTAGGTACAGCACTTGGAAACACTCACAAATGAGTCAAAATTAACTCTAGAGTAAAGGGTGCTCTAGTAAGACCCAACAAAGCTTAAAAGCAAGTCTCCAACTGTTTCCAAATAACAATCTCAGAACAAATCGCAAGAATATTTTTAGAAACACGAAAGTATCTAGCAATCAACAAAGCAAAACTTATGTCTGGCATCCGATAAAAAATTACTAGACGTTTAAGGGGTAGAAATATATAACCCATAGTGAAAAGTGAATTAACAGAAACTAATGTAGAAATGACACAGATGCAGAATCAAGTAGACAGAACATCAAACAGCTAATATAATCAGATACTCTGTGTTCAAGAAGGTAGAGGAAAGCATAAGCATGTTAAGGAGAGACATGGAAAATATTTTAAAGACCCCAACTGAACCTCTAGAAATGCAAAAAAACAATGTGTAAGATGAAAAATACACTAGGTAGAATTAACAGGTTAGAAACTGTTAAGAAAAAGCTTAATGAATGTGAAGACGGTATATTTAGAAACTATCCCAAATGATTAGATGTAGACATACACTTCCCTTCCTCACACAACCAAAACAAGGATGTTTAAAAAAAAAATCAGAAATCCATAAAATTGAACTGTATGAAAGTCCAACAATCAAGGAGTTCAAGAAGAAACATTCATCCAGACCAGTAGGAGGTGGGAATATGGGCAGCCAGGTAGAGAGGACATGCAGCAAGGTGGCGGCTGGCAGACCAGGTGGTCCCGCATTCAAAGTGGGAACAACTAGGGAGCAGGACAGACCACGCAACCCAGCGTTCCAGCACTGAAAAAGAAAGCCTTATGACCTCTGGTTGTAAAAATCTGTGGGGGTTGTAGCAGTGGGAGAAACTCTGTCTCACAGGGAAGTCTGTTCGGAGTAGCCCATGGTATCCTAGAACATACAGAAGCCCGCCCACCCAGGAATCAGCACCTGAAAGGGCACAATCCGCTTGTGAGAAGCAAGGGAAGTGACTGACAGTGGGGCGAGAGCCAAGCACACGGCATTGTTCCCTCTCTGACCCTGCTCCCAAATACAGTGCCACGGTGCAGCAAAGTGGATTGCCCCACCCTGGCTAACACCTGAGGCTTCACACCTTATGTTGTAACAGGTTTAATGTGACAAAGAAATATGGCCCAAATGAAAGAACAGATCAAAACTCCAGGCAAAGAACTAAGCAATGAAGAGATAGACAACCTATCAGATGCAGAGTTCAAAACACTGGTGATCAAGATACTCACAGAAATGGGTGAGTACGAACACAAAATAAAGAAATAAGTGAAGGCTAAACAAAATGAAATAAAGAAAAACATACAGGGAACCAACAGTGAAGGGAAGGAAACAGGGACTCAAATCAACAATTTGGAATAAGAGGAAGAAATAAACATTCAACCAGAACAGAATGAAGAAACAAGAATTCAAAAAAATGAGGAGAGGCTTAGGAACCTCCAGGACGACTTTAAATGTTCCAACATCCAAGCCATAGGGGTGCCAGAAGGAGAAGAGGAAGAGCAAAAAATTGAAACATTTTAATTGGAAGGAGAACTTCCCCAATCTGGCAAAGGAAATAGACATGCAAATCTAGGAAGCTCAGAGTCCCAAAGATGTTGGACCCAAGGAAGCACACACCAAGTCACATCATAATTACATTACCCAAGGTTAAAGATAAGGAGAGAATCTTAAAAAGCTGCAAGACAAAAGGAGACAGTTAGCTGTAAAGGAGTTCCCATAATATTATTGGCTGAGTTTTCAAAATAAACCTTGCAGGCAGAAAGGGGCTAGAAAGAAATATTTGGAATCATAAAAGGCAAGGACCTACATCCAAGATTACTCTATCCAGCAAAACTATCATTTAGAATGGAAGGGCAGATAAAAGTGCTTCCCGGATAAGGTCAAGTTAGAGTTTCTTATCACCAAGCCCTTATCATATGAAATGTTAAAGGGACTTATCTAAGAAAAAAAAGGAGACCAATACTATGAACAGTAAAATGACAACAAACTCACAACTATCAACAAATGAACCTAAAAAATTTTTTTTAAAAAATAAACAAACTAAGCAAACAACTAGAACAGGAACAGAATCACAGATATGGAGATCACATGGAGGGTTATCAACAGGGAAGGGAGGGGGAAGAATAGGGGAAAAGGTACAGGGAATAAGAAGCATAAATGATAAGCACAAAATAGACAGGGGGAGGTTAAGAATAGTATAGGAAATGGAGAAGCCAAAGAACTTATATGTACGACCCGTGGACATGAAGTAAGGGGGAGGCACACTGGTGGGAGAGTGGGTGCAGAGCAGAGGGGGATAAAGTGGAGAGAAAAAATGGGACAACTGTAGTAGCATAATCAATAAAATATACTTTAAAAAAAGCTATCCAAAACGAAATGAAATACAGTAAAAAAAAAGACTCACTAAAACCTAATTTGAATAGGTTTTAGAATATAATTCACCATACAGACATTGCAATATCACCAATGTCAAAAGTTAAATATACAATATATGGCTGGAATCATCGATCTTAGAAGTTTATACTATATCCAGATATAGATTTTAAATTTTTTATTTAAATTCTTCTTCATATCAACTTGATTTCTTTAAAAGTCTAACTAAAAGCTTTCAAGCCTTGTGCCTTTAGTTTGAATATTGTCAGACTTGCTTTTCTGAACTAAGCTGAGGTTTATGTTAGAAAGATGAGAAAGTAGAGCTTCACTAATTAATGTTAGCTCATGTGGAACACATCAATAAAGAATTACAGGACACAAGTGTCTTTCACATTTCTAGGTTTCATGTTTAGTGGAGTGGACCACTCCATTTGGATGGATGATACTCAAAAGGGCTATTATCTCTGTTTAATTATTGATTATTTAAATGACTATTATAATTAAATTTTAAAAAAACTACCGCTAGTCAACACGAGGTATTTAAAAAAAAAGATCTTGTTTAAAGCTAGACAATGACAGTGAAGTAAGAGCACAAAGTTGTGACGAGAAATGAAAATATTTCTTTCAAACGTCATGTCAGAGATGGCAGAGGTTTTTACTATTGTCAAGCAGGAGATAAAAAAGAAGGAAACAGCAAAAAAAGGTTGCAGTCAAGCAAATAAAAGAAACAGATTAATGGTAGCATAAAAGTCATCCTGGCAGTAGAGGGTCACTTTCACTTATAAAAGGAATACCCACTATTATAACAAGACTGTATAGCATCTGAACTATTGTACTATTAGACTCCACTGTGTACAGAGAACTGGATAGTCACTGCCTGGAAAACTTGAAAAAGATTACCTACAGAATCTTCTCAGATATTATCTATGCGAACAAAGAGGTAATTTGCCTTTCTTAGCCAAAAACACAGATTTTTTGTTTTCTCAAAAAGGTAGGCTCGGCCTCTGATTTACCTAGCTTTTTGTTGGTGGAGGAGAGTGGAACATCTTCCATGCCCAGATTTGAAAACTGAGGTCTTGTGAGAGATTTTCCCATATTCCTATTTTGTTGAGAATTCTGGGTAGAGTGCACAGTCAAAGACTTGGCCTCAAAATTAGAGACACCATTTTCCAGTATGGATCCTGTCAAAGAAACAGGAGAGTGTTTTAGCAAGATTTAAGGGTAAATCAAGCAAGCAGTCTTAAGTGTACATAAAGAAAAAGGTAAAAATATTTCAGGTAAAACTATGTTTATTGCTTTCTTTAAGTTCTTTTTCAAAACTATATTCCTTAAATGGCTGAGAACAAATCAATTGAGCAGAATCAGTTGAACGAGGCTGTCTGACTTAGCCCCCGGCAGTGTCCTGAAGGAAGAAGTCTATAGTAACCCATCACTAGATGGGCTAGCTCCATCCTTGGACCTTGTTAGCTTTCTGGTAGTTCTGGGTACAAGGAAGTGAACAGAGTCAACATTATCGACTTCTGATAGTTTCTCTAAGTTCTGTTGAGGAAAAAACTGCTTTACACTGTCCTAGGGAATAAAGAGTTTTAAAAGCTTTAGGGAACAGAAAAGGCAAAGAATTAGAAAAAAGAGGAGAGCTAGCTTCCCCCCAAATTTAAGACTATCTTTGGTTGGTTTGAGGTCAATTTAGGTGTTATGTTTTTCTTTTTGTGTTTGTGCAAACGAATCAATGAAAGTACAGCATAGTTCTTAAATTGCTGTTACATTTATAAACCAGTAGCAATAGAGCAAGGGAACCTGGATTAACAAACAAATAATTTTTAAAAACTATTTTAAAAGAGATATTCCCAATATCTTCCCAGCTCTCATCAAAAAGGTCAATAAAACAAAAGAAAACATATAAAATATCTGAATTTATAACTAACACTAATCTTAATTCTTTGTTAGAAAACAAATGTGAGACTACAAAAGCCAAGTGTCTCCTTCTCATAAAAGCCATGGGTTTAGGGTTATTCTTACATATTTCTCACCATGTTGATACCTAGAATAATACTATCAACATCAACTCATTATAATTTTCCTTAATAAGTATGCAATTTTTAAAATTGTACTGTCACCTTCTGTAGTCGTTAAACACTAAGGGACTATTAAATTATAAGATTTCCACAAGACTGCTTTAGACTAAAATTAAAATATGAGACAATGGAAAATAATTATATTTTTCTAGACCTTTCTTACAAAAGGTGACCCTTTCGCATAAGAAGTAACAAAAACTAAAAAGTAAGACTGACTAGTTTTAATTTATTGGTTGCTTTTTAAACCAGGAAGCCCCTGGCTGAGAATGCAACTTTTCAAAGACCTGTTAGTAAACTCACCTGTTCTGTCCTGCACATCTGGCATGGCAGACTCTGGATCCTCCAATTCTTTGGCATCTATTGAAAGGGTTTCCATACCTTCACTGAGGGAGTCCACAGACTCAGTATCATTGATGGCACCGTTAGCATGGTAACCGTTGATACCACCTTTTTCTGAAGAAGGTGCGCACTGCTCCTCTTGAATGGAAACCGATTTACTAGAATCTGGGATATTGTTACTTGCTTCTGCTGCAGGTTTTGGTTTGCTTTTCTTCTTTTTGTTCTAATGGTTGTTAAAGATTTGAAAAAAAGAAATGAAAGAGAAGACCCCCGCCCAGAGAGGAACTCTAGTTACCCAAAGACAACCAATGTTACCAGTTTCTCAAATGCTTTTCCAGAAACTGAACACATTTCTGTGTATATTGAATTGCTAATGAAAAAAACATGTAAAATACCTTGGATAAACTCAAACACATAAGTATAAGAAACTTATGCATGGCAAAACCCACCATATGCAAAATCAAAAGATAAATTACAAAGTGTGAAAAAATATGTGCAATTATCTACAAAGAGCTAACTATATAGAGAGCTCTAACAAACAAACAATAACTCAATAGAAAAAAATGGTATAGGATATAAGCATATGGAATGAAATGCAACCTCAGTAATAAGAGGCATAAATTAAAAATGCACTGCAGAAAATTATGGGAAGATGGCAGAGGGGGAAGCACTGGGAACTTGTCGCCCCACCTAGCCTACCTTAAATGGGCTCAGAACATTTATATTAGCCTACAGCTGGGCGAACCATCTAACACAGTGAATACAATGTAGAGTGTCTATCAGTTGTTCACCCTCATTTTCAGGTGGTCAACTGGGAACTGCAGCTGCCCAGCATCACGAGAAAGTATTGTACTATATACAGATAGCCTGGAAAAAGACCAAAATTCAGAGTATGGTTTCTACATACCAAAACTTTTGTAACCATGTATGGAAATTGATGTTAATTAATTATCTTTTTAAAGATTTTATTTATTTATTTTTTAGAGAGAGGGGAAGGGAAGGAGAAAGAGAGGGGGAGAAACACCAATGTGAGTTTGCACCCCAAAGTCCCCCAACTGGGGACCTGGCCCACAACCCAGGCACATGCCCTGACTGGGAATCAAAGCAGCGACCCCCTGGTTCACAAGCCTGCACTAAATCCACTGAGCCACACCAGCCAGGACAATTAGAGTTATTTCACAAGACATACAAATATTAGATCATTATGTTGTACACCTGAAATTAATATGTTATACATGTCAATTAGCCTCAATTTTTAAAAAAAGTAAAATATAAAGCCTTCATTGTTCAGATCCAGCTTAGAATAAAAGCCAAAGGGGGAAAAAGAGTTCTGGAGATGGATGGTAGTGACGGTTGTACAACATTATGAATGTATTTAATATCACTAAGCTATACACTTAAAAACAGCTAAAATGGTAAATGCCGTGTTTTCTACAGTAAGAAACATTTGGAAAAACTGCACTGCAATATCATTTTTTATCGACTAGATTAGGAAAGGTCAAAAAGTTGGATTACACTGTAGGGCTGACAGGGCTGAGGGTGTGGAGAAGCAGGCATTCTCCTGTATTACTTGTGGGAGTGAAAGTAGTACTCTATGACAATCTGGTAATACTTACCAAAATAACAAATGTATAACATAACCCTTTACCTAGCAATCCACATCTAGGAATCTATCCTCAGCAATACTAACACATGTGCGAAATTATATATACAAGTTTATTCACTGAATATTCATAATAATAGCAAAGAATTGGAAACAACCAAAATGTTGATCAATAAAAGGACTAGTTAAATTAGTTACAGTACATTCAAACAGTAGGAAGCCTACACATCCATAAAAAACAAGAAAGCTCTTTATATATTGACATAAGTTTCAAGATATATTATATTTTTAAAAAACAGCCCTGGCTGGTGTAGCTCAGTGGATTGAGCACAGGCTGTGAACCAAAGGGTTAACAGTCCAATTTCCAGTCAGGGGACATGCTTGAGTTGCTGGGCCAGGTCCCCAGTGGGAGGTGCATGAGAGGCAACCACACGTTGATGTTTCTCTCCCTCTCTTTCTCCCTCCATTCCCTTCTCTAAAAATAAATAAATAAAATCTTTTCAAAAAATCCATACTTCAAGTATTTCCTAAAGGAGCTAGATCTAGAGTCCAGAGCTGTGGAAAGCATTTTCAGACCAGCTACTACTACCCTGTGAGGAAAGGATTTTGGTTTCAAGTGGACAAGGAGAAGGAAATAAGAATGAGCATGTCACGAACTAGGTACTAGTAGTATTTCTTAGTACTACTTCCTTATATGGGGGATGAGCAAACTAAGGCACACAAAAGTTAAACATACTTCTAGGTTGCAAAGCCAGTTAGTAGAACAGGATATAAATCCTGTTCTGACCGACCTTACAGCCCAAGAGACTTCTCACTCCTTAAATTGGAACACCAATAGTAGCAAAGGCCCTTGCTGGGCTTTAACTTGAAGCTCATCAATATCAGAGGTTATAACACAGTTATCTGACCTAAACATCTAAACTATTTTAACTAATCTATGATAAGAATGATGTTGAAAACCATGGACTACTGCATCACTTTCTCTCATGGCGCTCTGCTTTAACTGATACACTCTCCTGTTTCATTCCTGACTAATATTAACATACCCTTGTTGGGGGCTGGGATAAGCCTGAAACAGGCTGATACAATCCGACCTGAAGGTTGCACCTGAATAACAGGATGCTGCGGTTAGGAGCCATAGAACTCCCCCTCCAGGACACGCGGGTGGCACACCAATCAGTGCCTTGATCACGCGCCCGCCATGCACCCCCCGGCCAATTGCAGGCTAGAGCACGCTCTGAAGCCACCCATCCACTGCACTTCCTCCACTGCCCTCCTCTATATAACTCCCTCCATTTTGAAATAAAATTTGCAGCTTGATCAGAATCCTTTGTCTTGCTGCCATTCTTCGCGCCTCCTGTCCCATCCCCCTTCATCCGTTACAGGTACATCGGCGGACCCCGTTGACTGCCTCTTGGGCCGAGGCAACTGGCGCCCAACGTGGGGCCCCGCTGATCGCCTGTGCGGACCGCTGTCCCCTCCGATCGCAGCGTTTCGCCCGGCTCACCGCGACTACTCAACCGCGCGCCGGCATTCCCTGACGACCCCCGTTCCCCCGACAGCGGCATTTCAAAGGTAAGACCCAGCCATGGGACAGGCATGCTCACAACATGATTTGTTCGTTGCTCAATTAAAAGAGTCTCTCAAGGTGCGCAAGATAAGAGTTCGTAAAAAAGATTTGAATTCCTTTTTCACTTTCGTTTTTAAAATCTGCCCATGGTTTCCCCTCAGGAGGGTAGCATTGACTCCCCGCGTCTGGCGCCGTGTAGGCAACTGTCTAAATGACTATTATAAGGTTTTTGGCCCCGAGACTATCCCTATAACTGCCTTTGACTATTATAACCTCATAACAGACATCCTTAAAAACCACAATAATTCCCCCTGACATACAGCGCCTTTGCAAAGAAGGGCAAGAAATTCTCCGCAATCAATCCCCGGCCCCCCTCCAAAAGCCCCCCTCAGTCCACGGCCTTCCCGATCGTGCTGACTTGCTTTCGCGACCTCCCTCACGAGCGCCTTCAAACTGTCCTTCTGTTTCCATCCGAATAGATGCAGACCCTCAAGTCCCTTCTCTGTACCCTCCCCTTCAGGAGTTCTATTCCCTCTGCTCCACCCCCCCCAATTCCCAGGACCCCCGGCGACCAGTTAGACCCCTCTGAACAGACAGAGTTAGAGTAGGAGGCTGCTCGCTACAATAATCCCGACTGGCCGCCGCTGTGCGGCAGTCTTTCCACCATTCAAACCGCCTGCCCTTATAGTACCTCTCACGCACCCGCCGCCGCCATTTCGCCTCCGGTGCATGGCGCTTCCGCCATTCCGCCCGCGGCGTGCAAGGCACCCACTGCTTTGCCGCTGGCGGCTCACCGCCGCACTCACTCCGTTTCCAAAGCCTTTCCTTCAGGAAACCCTCTCTTTCATCCGAGATATCAAAACCATTGCCAATGAACTCTCCGCTCTTACGATCAGTCCCCCTCCCCACGAAACTTTAGCATTCCCTGTTACTAGATCCCAGACTTGCCCATATAAGACCGAGAACGTAGATAGTTCAGCTGCGGCTGCAGCTACCCCCCTTCCTGACAGTGATGACCCCGAAGACTCTGACAGCTCCCCTTCTGATATAGATGAAGCACAGCCCAGTATAAGAGACACTACGACCCCCCAAGCTTATTTTCACACGTATAAAAAACTTAGTCTTAAAACACTAGAAAAAGTCAAAGCTGCTGTAACACACTATGGGCCCACAGCTCCCTTTTCCCTTGCCCTAATTGAAAATCTTAGTGAGCGCTGGCTCACGCCCCAATGATTGGTTCTTTCTAGCAAAGGCAGCGCTGAGCGGAGGTGACTTTATTCTTTGGAAAAGCGAATATGAAGACACCGCTAAACAGTTTGTCCAGCGCAATATGCGAAAATCCTCCTCTAAAAATTGGAGCATCCTTAAGTTTCTTGGCTCCGCCCCCTATCAAAACAATGAGAGACAAGCTCAATTTCCCCCCGGACTTTTAACCCAAATCCAGTCCACGGGTCTTAAAGCATGGAGGCGCCTTCCACAAAAAGGTACCGCAACCACTTCTCTTGCAAAAATAAGACAAGGCCCAGATGAGCCATACAGTGATTTTATAAGTCGTTTACAGGAATTAGCTGAGAGGCTCTTTGGCGCGGGCGAAGTAAAAAACGCTTTCGTTAAACACTTAGCTTATGAAAATGCCAACCCCGCTTGCCAAATGCCATCCCGCCCCTATCGCCAAGGAGAGCTCTGTGACTATGTTCGCCTCTGCTCCGGCATCTAATCAAACCCAGGGATAAGCCATACTCCCTGAGGGACTTCTCTCTCCTTTCTATTACAGGAAACAGAACGCACCGAATAAACATCATTATACTACTCAGAACACTCCCATACCTAAAGACAGACGGAGGACGAGAAGGACCACCCCAAAACCCCTGCCTCGCCCTATTTGGACAACCCTGCGTCTGTAAAGGGAAAAGAACTTTCCGAACACACCCTTTGGGGTGGACTTAACGGAATTCTCCCCTACCCCCTTCCCCTCTTAGGACCTTTAGTTTCTATCACCCTCATCCTCTCCTTTGCTCCCTGGATTCTTAGACGTATAACTAACTTAGTCAAAGACCAACTTAACAGTGTACTAGGAAGGCCTATTCAGGTGCACTATCAACAATTAGAAATGCTGGAACATGGAGCGGACTCTGAGCCATACAGCCGCTGGGGTGCTAGCCCACGATTCCTGCCAGGTTCCCCTCCTGCGGGAGCAGCATATCCCTCGAAGGTATGCTTCACAGCCAAGTAGCTGTGATAGACACCGCTGGGTGCAAGGCAAAGCACTGCAAGGAGAGGCCTGTACATACGGCCACTTCGAGTCTCCTGAGAGGTAAGCTGACTTGCAAAGAGGTTGGTACCCAACTCCTCTCCTCCAAAAGGTACCCTAAAGCTCAGAATGAGCCCAGGAGGAGTCAGGCCTCTGCCTCCCCCAGCTGGTTAAAGTCTACCCTATCTACATTCTCCTCGCCCTCAAAGCAATAAAAAGGCAAGTCGGCTTGCATAGAGGTCAGCACCCCAACCCCTCTCCTCCGAAAAGGGTGCTTCAGAGCTCGGGACGAGCTCAGGAGGAGCCAGACCTCTGCCTCCCCTAGCCGGTTAATGTCCACTCCTCACCTTAAAAATAAAAATAAGGGAGGAGATGTTGGGGGCTGGGATAAGCCTGAAACAGGCTGATACAATCAGACCTGAGAGATACGCCTGAATAACAGGATGTTGCAGTCAGGAGCCATAGAAACTCCCCCTCCTGGACATGCGGGTGGCACACCAATCAGTGCCTTGATCACGCGCCCGCCATGCACCCCCCGGCCAATTGCAGGCTACAGCACGCTTTGAAGCCACCTATCCACTGCACTTCCTCCACTGCCCTCCTCTATATAACTCCCTCCATTTTGAAATAAAATTTGCAGCTTGATCAGAATCCTTTGTCTTGCTGCCATTCTTCGCGCCTCCTGTCCCATCCCCCTTCATCCGTTACAGGTATATGGCGGACCCCGTTGACTGCCTCGCGGGCCGAGGCATACCCTCCTCTACTGCACCGTGGCAGGGTCATTCTGTTGCCTGTATACAGTCACACAGAGGAGATTATAGCGTACTCTGTGCTATAACATTTTACCACAAAGCTGTGCTTCAACATCACAGAAGAGTTTTTTAAAGCAGTTGAACAGGAGATGTATATGTAACCTTTTCTTCAAATATTTTGCAGAGCCTAAATACTTTTATAATATCAATATCATGTTTTTAAATTTAATTCATTTTTACCTTTTTCTTGCCTGTTACTGTCCATTCTTTCAGTACTTCACTGGCACTACCTGTAACAGAAACCAATTACAGGTTTTCTCTCTTAGCATGTGCACGGTCTAGGAGGAATTAGTGTCCCTGCATTTTGTAACTGCTGGAGAACTTCTACAATTCCTAACAGTAAAAGTTAAGATTCAAGTCTCTGAGCTAATGCAATGAGATAATCACATCATTCTGATCTTTTGTAATACCTGCCCATTTAGATTCCCCTGCTCCATGTAACTCCCTCAGTAACTTCTTTCAAGAAGAGACTAATGTACCCTGACCATTTTGAATTTTCTTCTTCTGAAGTATATTTTATTGAGTGTGATATTATAGTCATCCCGTTTTTCCTCCCCTTCTTCCCCTCCAACCTGCACCCTCTCTCCCACCAGCATGCCTCCCCTAGTTCATGACCATGTGTCATACGTATAAGTTCTTTGGCTTTTCCATTTCCTACACTATTCCTGACCTCCTCCTGTTTTGTACCTACCATTTATGCTTCTTATTCCCTGTACCTTTTCCCTTATTCTTCCCGCTGCCACCACCGCCACCCCGCTCCCCACTGATAACACTCCATGTAATCTCCATTTCTGTGATTCTGTTCTAGTTGTTTGCTTAGTTTGTTTTTGTTTTAGGTTTAGTTGTTGACAGTTGTTTGTTGTCATTTTACTGTTCATAGATTTGATCACCTCCTTTTTCTAAGTCCCTTTAATATTAATAAGTCCCTTGTAATATGGAGTACAATAAGGGTTTGGTGATGATGAGCTCCTTTAACTTGACCTTATCTGGGAAGTACTTTATCTGCCCTTCCATTCTAAATGATAGCTTTACTGGATAGAGCAATCTTGGATGTAGGTCCTTGCCTTTCATGACTTCAACTACTTTCCAGGCCTTTCCTGCCTGCAAGGTTTCTTTTGAGAAATCAGCTGAGAGTTTTATGGGAACTCCTTTGCAGGTAACTGTCTCCTTTTCTGTTGCTACTTTTAAGATTCTCGCTTTAATCTTGGGTAATGTAATTATGATGTGCCTTAGTGTGTGCTTCCTTGGGTCCAACTTCTTTAGTATTTTCTGAGCTTCCTGAACTTCCTGGAAGTCTACTTCCTTTGCCAGATTGGGGAAGTTCTCCTTTATTATTTGTTCAAATAAGTTTCAATTTTTTGTTCTTCCTCTTCTCCTTCTGGCACCCCCATGATTTAGATGTTGGAACATTTAAAGTTGTCCCAGACATTGCTGAGCCTCTCTCTCTCTTTTTTTAAATTCTTGTTTTTTAATTCTCTTCTAGTTATTTCTTTCTTCTACTCCAAATTGTTGATTTGAGTCAGTTTCCTTCCTGTCACTGTTGGTTCCCTATACATTTTCCTTTGTAACACTTTTCATAGCTTTCACTTCTTCCTCTATTTTGCGACCATACTCAACCACTTCTGTGAGCGTCCTGATTACCAGTGTTTTGAACTTTGCATCTGACAGGTTGGCCATTTCTTCATTGCCAACCTAGTTGGCATCTCTTCATCTCTTCTTAGTTGTATTTTTTCTGGAGCTTCAATCTATTCTTTCATTTGGACCACATTTCTTTGAGTCAGCACACCTGTTACATTGTAAGGGGCAGAGCCTTAGATATTCACCAGGGTGGGGAAACCCATGTCACTGTGTTGTGGTGCTGTATATGGGGGAGGGTCCGAGAGGGAACAATGCCACTTGGTCGGCTCTCAGCTGGCTTTCAGTCACTTCCCCTGCTTCCCACAAGCAATTTGGGCCCTTCTGGTGCTGATTTCCAGTTGGGTGGTCTTGTGTACATTCTAGGACTCTGTGGGTCTCTCCAACAGTATTCTCCTGTGAGGCTGGGAGTTTCTCCCACTGCAGCAACCCCCACAGATTTTTACAGTCAGAGGTTCTGAGGCTTTATTTCCCCACGCTGGAATCCTGGGTTACATGGTCTGACTTGCTCCCCAGTTGTTCCCCCCAGTTTATCCATATGCAAACGTGGGACCACCAGGTCCACCACCTGCCGCCTTGCCCACCCAGTCCTCTAGCTGCCACCTTGCCGAGAGTCCTCTCCAGCCAGCTGCCTATCTCCGCCCCTCCTACCAATCTGAATGAATGTTTCTTCTTTAACTCCTTAGTTGTCAGACTTCCATACAATACAATTTTCTGGCAAGTCTGGTTATTTTTGTTTTTAAATTTGTTGTTGTCCTTCTTTTGGTTGTACAAGGGGGCAAAGTCCATCTAACTATACCTCCATGTTGGCCAGAAGAGACTGAAATTCTTTTATTTATCTAACTTAGACCAAATACAAAGATGAGTGCTTTTAGCCCAAGTATGCCATCCCATCTCCTCCTGAAGATTACATATCACCTTGCCTACACTGTTTTAGAGACATGTTCACTACCCTAGGCCCAAATTATAACTAACATTATAGAGAGAAGTGATGACAATGAAGAGAAACCTTACAGTATTTGAACCTGTTTATTTCTAGTGGCAGAAAAATAGGGAGACCTAATCTGATATAGCTATTCAATGACAAGGTATCTTTTAAAAATGGCATGGTATGTTATATTCTCTGGGGGTCTACTGTATCATTTATGAAACACCAGCTTGCTGAATGAATGTTACAGAAGTGTGAAGCAACTTCTATGTGAACAAACACAAACTTATTAAGAAACTGAACTAGGATTACCTTCCATAAATGCTTGTACTGTTTTGTCCACACAATTGTCAAAGTGCTGCAAAACCAGGATGATCTCATTGTTGCTCTTGTTGGGAACTATTGCACGCACTGCATTTATCTGGAAAAGATGACAGGGTCATTTAGTTTTAACAGCTGAAGCCTATTACACAGTGACATTTCATTCTTAACAATATGTATCGCTTTTTAGCATCAGTGAGAGTACATACAACCATCTCACTGGGCATGATTATAGATGAGTGATAACAACACATGAAAATTTATTTTCAGAACTTATTAGAAAACCAGAACATTTCTAGAAACACAAGGCATGTGCTAGAGTTTATTCCAAGAAAGAGAGGTTTAATTTAGGTACCAGGTGTTCATTTAAACATCAACATTTTCTCATTTTTAGCATATTATACAGAAAGGTGGAAAGTTTAATGACCTTTTGCCCATAACAACTTAGATTTTTATATGGCATTTTCAAAACATTTTATTTCATATCATTTAATTGTATAACACTATGAAAATAACAAATTACTATAAACTATTTCAGGCATACAAAATATAATGAGCATTCGTTGTGTGACAGTTTTTTTTTTTTAATCCTCACCCAAGGACATTTTTTCATTGCTTTTTAGAGAGAGAGGAAAGGAGAGAGAGAAACATCAATGTGAGACAGAGGCACACATTGGTTGCCTCTTCCATATACTCCAACTGGGGACTGTACTGCTTGGAATGGGCATTGTATGCACTTGGGCTGAGGATCGTATGTGCTTGAACAAGGGACTGTAAGCACCTGGGCCAGTGACCCAACCTGAAACCTAGGTATGTGCCCTGACTGGATATTGAACCCGAAACCTTTCAGTTAGTGGACGACACTCCAATCAAGACACACTGGCCAGGGCAAGACAGCTTAATAAAATAAAATACAGGCAAACTTTGGTTCTTGAACAATTCAGTTCTCGACCAAGTTATTCACAGGAACAATTTCTCAGCTGTTTAACAAAACTTTAATTTTGTCTCAATTCTCTGCCCAACAACCCTTTCCATGCTGATAACTACACGATCAGTCACACACCTCTCAGGTGAAAGAGGAGATTTGGTTTTCAAACAAATCACTTCTTGGACAGTTTTCCATAAGGAATCAATAAATTTGAGGATCAAGGTTCCACTGTAGATGCAGTTGAAGCCCCCACGAAGTCACTCATAAATCCCACCTCCCTTCTCTCCACCTTCAATTTGATGTTACTTCAATAAACATGTTATATTTCTAAAATGTACGTATGTATCCACAGATAGTATTGAATATATACTATTGTTTCACATTATGTAAATATTATCATGTCATACATGTCTATATTCAATTTGCTTTATTCATGTAACACTGTTCAGTTCTTTTATGTTGATAAATGCATCTCTTATTAACTGCTACATAGCATTTCCATTGTGTGAATATAGCCAATTTATTCATTCTCCTGTTGATATGCATAACATTGTTTCCAATGTTTAGCCAGTATGAAAAATGCTGAACATTCCCATGCTTATTTGCTGCTGAATACTCAGTGCCTAAAACAATGTTTAGCATATTTCAAGAAAAAAAAAAATCGTGTCTTATCCTGGCTGGTGTGGCTCAGTGGATGGAGTGCCAGCCTGTAAACCAAAGGTTGCCAGTTCGATTCCCAGTCAGGGCACATGCCTGGGTTTCAGGCCAGGTCCCCAGCTGGGGTGCATGAGAGGCAACCACACACTGATGTTTCTCTCCCTCTCTTTCTCCCTCCCACTCCCTCTTTAATAATAAATAAATAAAATCTTTTTTAAAAATTGGGTCTTCTGTGAACAGTGAGTGAATATCTCTTGTATATAACTACTAGTAGAACTCCTGAATAGAACATTTACAAATTTATTAGATAATGCCAAACTGCTCTTTCAAATAGGTATGTCAATTTTGTCAGATTTATTCCCAAGGTATTTCCATTTTTGAGATTAAAAATATATAGTTTGTAATTATTATATATTGTTTTCATTTTTTTAAAAAGATTTTATCTATTTATTTTTAGAGAGAGGTGTGGTCTCTCTCGTGTGGTGATCTCTCTCTTTGGTGTGGTGGTCTCTCGCTTGGCCCCCACTGGGCACCTGGGCCACAACCCAGGCATGTGCCCTGACTGAGAATCAAACCGGGGTTCCTTCGGTTCAAAGCCCACACTCCATCCACTGATCTGCACCAGCCAGGGCTATTGTTTTCATTTTCACATATCAATTTTTAACCAGCAACCTTGATGAACTCTCAGTATTCCTAATAATTTGTTGCCTTCTTGGCTTATGTACATAAACTGTATTGCATATAAATAATGGCAGTTTTTTCACTTTCTTTCTAATCCTTTATAATTTTCATTTTTGTCTTACTGTACAATGTGAAATTAATTATTTCTCTAAAAAGACCTGGTTCTTTTTGGTAGGAACTGGTAGTTAAAAGCCAAGACCTAAGAGCTGGGTGTGTCTACTGCCAGATAGAGCTCGGAGATTTTGTTTTTTTACAACAGGAATTCACATGTAATATTCAAATATCATATGAAAAGGTTTTTTCTTACATTATTTTAAACATATATCTTTCTTCTAAACTAAAAATTTTAGTTCCTCAAAGTGTTAATTTACTGACTTGCTTTAATTCAGTAACATTCACAAAATGTTACTAATAACACTATGACACACTGCTACTAATGACAAAGCACTGAATAAAATTTAAGATTTATTTGCAATTTGTTTTGTCCTTTAAACATATCCCTCTAATCATGGATAGTGACAATAATGTGTTCAGTGGGAAGAAAGTTCACCCTTTCCCTGAAGGTAAAATATTTTTAGGATCTCAACCTTATATAAGCTCTCAGCTCCAACTCCTAACCTAAGACAAGCCTGGAGCTTTATGACCCTGTGTGGTAAAGCCCATTTGTTATCGAGTCTGACAAAACGCAGCCAAGTTCCTGAGCTCAGGTTACTACTCTGCTTTTTCATTCCCTCTGTCATATATACTTAGTCCCTAAAGATTTCCCTTTGTCTGTTCAGCTATGCATTGAAAACGATGTGTTATTTTTCATTCTATATTTCTCAGTATTTTATATTATGAATGTTTTTAAGTTACCTACTCAGCAACACTATTTGAAAAGGAAGTCCCTTTATATATAAGAAGTATCTTGTCCAAGTAATGAGCAGAGTCTGTATTAGAACCTAAGTCTTTTTTATGTTTCAGTACACTTGCTTTCACATCATTCTATGCTTGTTTTTGTTTCAGGCTGAATGAAACAATGATAAAGTTTAAAACTATACACATGGGGAGGTATATAACCTATAATCCAAAAAGGGACAGTTTGTAATTACACATTTTTGAGATGAGAAAAAAACTTAGCAGTGATCACTAGAAAATGAATTTTAGACAAAACTTACAGATCCAACAATAAAAGTAGCTTCTGGTAACTTAAAATGTGAAAGTGTATATTATTGAAACTATATATATCTATGACTCCATAATCAACAATATACTTTTATTAATAAGACAAAAATTTTCCAAGCACATAAAGCTTTTGTTTTATGTTTTTCTCAGTTATAGCTCACTTGGAATTATATGACTAAAAACATCTGGTTTTGCTCTGGCTGGTGTGGCTCACTGTATTGAGCTTTAGCCTGCAAACCAAAGGGTCACTGGTACAATTCCCAGTCAGGGCACATGCCTGGGTTGCAGGCCAGGTTCCCAGGAGGGGGCACTTGTGAGGCAACCACACATTGATGTTTCTCTTCCACTCTTTCTCCCTCTTTTCCCCTCTCTAAAAATAAAAATGAATAAATCTTTACAATAATAAAACTTGGGGGGAAAAAGAAAACACCTGGTTTTCTTCCAAAGGGATGTTGGAAGATCTATTTCTCATCTTGCTCTGAAGTCTCCTGAACTTCAGAATCCACTTCAAGTGAATGGGAGGATCCTAGTCAGTTCATTTCTTTTAAAATGTTGCGAAATGAGATACACACTTAGCCATATAAATATTACATTATAATATTAATTAATATTAAGGTGTCTTCAAAAGAATTCAGAATGAGTATATAGAGAGATATGCAAAAAAAATCATGTTTACACTTAAGAGGCTCTGATTTCTCAAAACTTTCGTGGTAGTTACTCTTCGATATACAGTGGTATTCTCTTTTGTTCTTAAAGTTACACTTTCTTAATGAGTTTGTGTAGTCCTGACTGTATTTGTACCTAAATTTTACTATGGCATTCAAGTTTACTATCTATAACAGTGACTTTCAACCTTTTTCATCTCAAGACACATATAAACTAATTACAAAAATTCTGCATGCAGCACACCAAAAATGTATTTTTGTCAATATAACAAAAAAATAGTTATAATTTTGATTCCTTCGTATAGGACAGCTATTGTTGTGTTGGCTGTTGTCATTTTTTAAAATTTGACAATCTAAGGAAAAAGAGGTCAGTGCCCCTGACTAACAGTTAGGTATTGCATGTTTTAAAAATTCTTGCAGCACAGCAGTTAAAAATTGCTTATCTACAGTAACTAATCATACCTTTTCTTTCATGTTCTCAAAAGCCCCTCCCTGGGCCAGTACAGTATTGGACTGCAAATCGAAAATGAATCCTGATGAATCTGAAAGAATGAGAAGGAAAAAATGTATTCAACAAGATCCAAAACTGACATATGGCCCATCCCCCAAATGGAAGGGCCAACAGAAACTGCTGTTCTCCCTGCAACAGTTAACTTGCTTTGTAAATTCCATTCTACAGATCACTGATAACTACATTTGAGTTAAAATTATAAAATAAAATTTGATTTTAATAGAAACTGTCACAGCTTGAGAAAAACACTAAATACATCAACCATACTAAACTGTCCAGTAATCCTTGGCATCTTTGGTAACTATCTCACCTTAATTTCAAAGGCCCTCTAGAGCCCTGGCTGCTGTGGCTCAGTGGACTGAGCATGGCCTGTGAAGCATGGGGTCGCCAGTTCGGTTCTCGGTCAGGGCACATGCCTGGGTTATAGGCCAGGTCCCTGGTGGGGGACACATGAGAGGCAACCACACATTGATGTTTCTCTCCCACTCTTTCTCCTTCCCCTCTCCTCTCTCTAAAAATAAATAAATAAAATATTAAAAGGCCCTCTAGAAATGCTGAAAATAAAAGGCTCCCTGAGGTAAAATTCAACACTGTAACAAATCTGAAAATGTGAGCGAGGATGGGAGCTTCTGTGGCATTAATGATAACAATAATACATGAAAGTAATTTCAACCTTCTTGGCTGTATCACGCACATTATTTCTTTAGACACAAACTCCACGAATACATTCGTGTTTGTGTTCCCAGTATAATGCTTGATCAAGCAATGTACCTGAGTTTACATTAGCGGCACAACATGGAAAACCTTAGTTTAATGTGACCAATTACAGAAAGAGTTTAGCTTCCCTGTACTTACAAAGAAAAGGCTATCTGCACACTCAATCAATTCCTTTACCCGAGACTACCATGAATTACCTCAGCTTTAAACACTTGACAACTTTGTTTTAATCTAATGAGATGCAATCCAAGAAATGGTTAGAATGCTTCTCAGATTCTGATGTATGCACTTATCTGGGGAATCTCAGTTTAAAATGTAGGTTCTGATTCAGTAGTCTAGCCTGTGGCCTGAGATTTTTATTCCCTGATGGTATCAACACTGCTGATTCATGCACTGTACTGGGGAGTAGCTTGGGGGTTAGAATTTCAACAAACCAAGTAAGAGGGAAAGCTTTGAAAACAGGGTTGGCATGTTCTGAATGTTTGTGTCCCCAGCCCCTCAAACTCTTATGCCGAAACCCTAAAGGGATAGTGTTAGTAGCTGGGGCCTCTGGAAGGTAAGTTAAGTCATGAGAGTGGAGCCCTCATGAGTGGCATTAGTGCACTTATAACAGCAATTGCACAGAGCTCCCTAGGCCCTGCCACCGAGTGAAGACACAATGAGAAGTCTGTGAGTCAGAAGAGGGCCCTCACGTGACCATGCTGACACTGATCTCGGACTTCCAGCCTCTAGAACTACGAGAAATTAATTTTGGTTGTTTATAAGCCATCCGTGTTGTTATAGCAGCCCACATGGACAGGGGTTTAAAACATACGGTGATGTTCTAGTTTATTTTCCAAATTCTTTTTTTTTTTGGTAATTTACTTTTAGAGAGAGAGAGGAAGAGAAACACTGATGTGTAAGAGATATATCAATCAGTTGCCTCTCACACACTCCTGACTGGGGACCTAGCCGGCAACCCAGGCAGTGCCCTGACTGGGAATTGACTGGGCGACCTTTCTGTTTGCAGCCAGTGCTCAATCCACTGAGCCACACCAGCCAGGGCCCAAATTCTTTTGCGGTTATTACAGATGTGTTTTAATTAAAGCCTCTTTTACAGCTCAATCATTATCCTATGTTTTCAAATACCTCCTACTTGCTATGAAATACTGATAATTCCTAAGTTAGAATGACAACACATTTTGGTACTAAAAGTGAAAAAGAGATATGAATACAACACACGTCATTCCAAGAGAACCTGTGCTTGCCAATTACCAATGAACCATGAACTCATTCAGGTTTAACCTGTGTAATATTGGCAGATTTGAGAAAGTTAACAAATGAAAAGTCAGGTTGCACTTACACAAACTCAGTGTTTAAGCCTTAGTTTTCCAAATGACTACATAATTTCTAATTATCTTTAATAATTGAAGAGAAACAGTATAGGAACATGAAAATACTATCCAGCCACCTTCTCAGGACTGCTACTGGTTAACCAAGTGGTACAGCTTGAATACTCTAAGTACTCTCTCCCAAAGATATTGGTGAGCAGTGAGACGACAAGGGAATTCAATAATCTTAGTAGAGAATCAAACCACCAATCTCTTTTTATGGAAAAAGGGGGTACAAAGGAAAGCAGCATTTTGGTGTCCATACTTAAATGAACTATCAGTATCATTAGCTTCTTATACAATAAGAAGGTTACAATACATCATCTATCACTATTTTTTTCTTTAACAACACGCTATGTGAAACAAAGTAAAAGGAAAACAAAGAGTAGTTCTGCAAATACCTTCAGTTATTGTCCCCCCAAATTAGCAGTACTATTATTAGGGTTCAGCTGGCATACAAATTAGGATAATATATACATAAAGCAGCTATCGCAGTCAGGATCGCAGTCAGGATCCCAGTAGGAAACAAATGCACACTCAACTCAGGAAATCTGAGAGTTGTTTTTTTTTAAAGACTGTTTTAGAAGGTGCTAGTAAGGAGTAAGAAAACTGCAAGGTGTAGTGCAGCCACCCCTTGGCTAATAACAGCTACGTGGCACTGCTACCCTGAGGTTCAAATAGGTGTAAGGAGACAGCAACTACTAAGACCCAGGGACAGAGGACTTTTTCACCTGTGTTTCATCTGGTGTGGTAAGGGCCACAGGACAGTAGCTATGACCTTTGGTCAAACGTCCCAATAAGCCCACAATGACCCCTCAGGGAAAGATTAGGAGGATAAACACCCTACCTCATTCTCCGTCTTGCCCGATCGCCTGCCCAAGCTGCCCAAGGGCCAAACCCAGCCATAAGCCAGAGGGTAAAAGAGCCATTGAGGGAATATTTATCTTTTAAATCATGACTTCAGCAAAAAGGGAAAGCAATAATCATCTTGTCTATTCACCAGCTAATACTGCCTCTTAAACCAACAATTTAAATAGATATAAAACCGAGCATCAAAGAACTGGAGCTTAAATACCTTTTGGCATTACAGAGAAAGTTATTTTTAATTTCCATAAAAAATATTTAGTGATTAACAATTCTCTTATTTTTATATGCAAAGAAAGTCCAAGATTTACTTAATGCCATTAGTAGGAAATAAGGCAGTATCTCATTTTATGGTAGAAGAGCAGGTATTTATCAGAATTTATCAGAAATAAACTTTTAAAGAAAAAAATGAAGTTAAATACTATTATCAGGGAAGATTCATAAAGGAGATAAAGAATAACTGAAAATGAGTTTTCTTTTTATCATTTATTTCCCTCTATCAAGAACCATCTCAGAGATTTCTTGGAATTACTTCAAACAGCACATAAAGAGGAACATTTTGAAAAAAGTATGTTATTTACACTATCCCTGATACATTTGTAAATACCATAGGTTTGTTATTATTGTTTTAGCTGGCTTCAAAAATCTGGCAAAAGTTATTTTAGGCACTGAGAAAACACAGAAATGTTTGCGTTTGATTATCCCATATACCAAACCAACCTTGAGCAATTTTTAAAAACTGAAGTATAATTAACATGTATATAACATTATATTCATTTCAGGTATACAACTTAAGGATTTGATATCTGTATATACTGTGAAATAATCACAATAAGTCTAGTTAACATCATTTACCATACACGGGCACAAAATTTTTTTCTTGTGATGAGATTTATTCTTTTAGCAACTACAAGTATGCAATACAATATAATTAACTGTAGTCACTAAGCTGTACATCACATCCTCAGAGCTTAGATAATAACTGGAAGTTTGTAACTTCTGAACCACTTTACCCATCTTGACCTTCCCCCCTATACTTTACCCCTGCCTCTGGTAACCACCAACCTATTCTCTGTATCTATGTGCTTGGTTTATTTACTTTTTTTATTGATTTGAGGGAGGGAGGGCGAGGAGAAGGAAGGATGAAGGGAGAGGAGAAGGAGAGGGAGGAGGAGAAGGAAGAGGAGGAGGAGAGGGAGGAGAGGGAGGAAGAGGAGGAGAGGGAGGAAGGAGGAGAGGGAGGAAGGAGGAGAGGGAGGGAGGAGGAGAGGGAGGAAGGAGGAGAGGGAGGAGGAGAGGGAGGAAGGAGGAGAGGGAGGAGGAGGAGGAGGAGGAGGAGGAGAGGGAGGAAGAGGAGGAGAGGGAGGAAGAGGAGGAGAGGGAGGAAGAGGAGGAGAGGGAGGAAGAAGAGGAGAGGGAGGAAGGAAGGGGAAGATGGGGGAGGGGGGAGAGAGAGATCAATTTGTTGTTCCACTTATTTATGCATTCATCAGTTGCCTCTTGTATGTGTATGTGCCCTGACCAGAGACCCAACTCACAACCTTGGCGTATAGGGACAACACTCTAGCCACCTGAGCTACCCAGCCAGGGCTGGTATTTTTTTGGTTTGTTTCGTTTTTAGATTCCACATACAATATTTGTCTTTCTCTGACTTGTTTCACTTAACATAATGCCATCAAGGTCCACCCATGTTGTCACAAGTGACAAGATTTATTTTCATGACTGAATTATAATCATACACATGTCACATTCTCTCCTTTCATCCATCAATGAATACTTAAGTTGTTTCCATATCTTAACTATTGCAAATAATGTAGCAAGGGTGGTACACATATCTTTTTGAGTTCAGTGTTTTTGTTTTCATCAAACACCCAGAAGTAAAACTGCTGTAACATACGGTAGTTCAATTTTTAATTTTTTGAGGAAACTCCACACCATTTTCTATAGTGGCTGCACCAATTTACAATCCACCAACATAGGGTTCCCTTTTCTTCTCACGCTGGATAACACTTATTTCACGTCTTTTCTATAATAGCCATTCTGACAGGTGTGAGAATTGTGGTTTTGATTTACATTTCTC